TTTTCATTGTTTTTCCCCTAATTAGGGGAAAATTGAACTTCAGGAAAATGGTTGGAGCTGCAGCTTTCCTGCTGTGGGAGAGCACTACTCATTACTCCATTTTTTTACGTTTATATAGGTATTAATTCAAGTCTTAAAAGTCTGACTTTTTGCCACAGCCTGTTTTTTTTTTTAATTAATGGTGCTTTATAAGGAGATATCAGTCTACTTTTAGGCTTTGAAACAGAAGGTGATGGGAATAAACAGGTTTTACATAGCTCTACAAATTTCATACATGTAAAGCATACACAGAACAAGAAAATTAAGGTAGCACATTTCTTTTCCCAGCACTACTGCAAACAAAATGACTGTTTATCAATAAATACATAATGCACTTTATGACTGCATTATAAACAGTGGGAGATGAATGAATTTCATTTACGCAGACCAGCGATATTGTGCCAGTCATTATATAAATCAAACCTAGGCAGAGGCCTGTAAGCTTTTGCTGCTTCACTGATTTTTATTGTCATACAAAATGATAACTGGAAACCATATAGAACAAGGCAAATTAAGAATCTATTGGGGGGAAAATGTGATTGGAAATGAACATCCTCCTGGAAGCTACATGCATGAGCTAAATGCTGTGTGAGATTTTTATCTTCCATGCACAATGTGATGATATTCCTGTGCATATATGGTTAAATTAAATTTCCTTAGCAGCATAAAAATGTAGCTGGCCAAAATAGATTAGAACTGAATAATGTGTTGGATCACATTTTATTTAGATGGAGCAGAGGAAAATATTTAATTTCAGCCTGGAAAGATATTGAGCAGAATAGATGATTGAGTTCAAACAAAGAGATTGTGCTTCCTGGAGGTTTTTTCTTTTGTTGCATGAATGAAATGATCTGTAAATTCATGACAAGATGATGATTTTCTCAGTTGCAGAGCAGTGACAAGAAAACAAAATTATTTCTCTGTGGTCAAACGGGAAATTCTCATTCTGTTGGAGTCCAGTCTCACTCTTTGAAGGATTATTTGATTTCTTGGGGTTCAGCCAGTCAGTTTGTGCAGTTTGAGGCTAAGGTGGGATGAAGTAGTTTGTGTCCTGCAGGATTTTTCTTTAAATAAACTCATCTTCTAAACAACTGCAAAATGCTCCTGCCTGTTATTAAAACCCAGCTTGGTCCACAGCAGATAAGTTGTTGGCTTCAAACTACCCCAGCCAAGTTGCACTATTAACCTGCCATTTGCTAGTAGGATAACACCTGCCTTTTTTAGCAGTGTTTTCAGTTCACCTGTAACTACTCTGAGCAAGCGGAGTCAGGACCATTGGCCCAGGGCTGCCAGGCTTGTCCCTCTGCTAAACACATGCAGCAGCTCCTGGGGCCCTGAGAATACCCTCCCCTGCACACAACCCAACATAAACTCATGGAATGGAAGTCCATGATTTTGCAAGTTAGATAAAACAGTAGAAGAAGGGTGGTAGTTTTGGGGGTCGGGTTTTTGTGGTTGGTATTTTTTTTGTTTGGTTTGGTTTGGTTTTTGTCTTTTTTTTCTAATTCTACTCTTTTACTTCTCCTTGCCATGTAAGTGTTTCTTGAGGTTTGGTTGGTTTTTACTTCCCCCCCACAACCAAAATGTTGTGGAGAATTATTCACCTTTCAGCTATTTTTTATAAAAACTTTTGAAGAAGATATCTAGTGCGTCTTAGCTTAATGTTTCAATGACAAAACCCCCTTCAAACCCAACAGGCAAATATATGCAGTAGAAGATTTATTTTGATGGTTACTTCTAGTTTCAGCCATATAGATACATTTTAATCCAATATTCAGACATTATTGAATTGAACTGGTAATCATTTAACCGTAAGTTGAGATTTAAATGCTTTTTTTAAATGTAATTGATTATTTTTGATGTTAGGTATTTCACTGCGCCTCTTCAGCATACCAGATTTCATTTATACCTGTTTCTACTCAATCATTACGTAGACTTTGTCTGCTGTGCTAAACAATTTGGCCAATTTGCCCTTCTAATGGCAAGGACTCACTTCTCTCTATACCCTAGGTGGTGGAAACATCCCAACATCAGGCTGCATTGAGTAGGTCCCTCAGAGGCTGATGGTACCCCTCTCATGCGCCTGAGCTTCCCACAGACCTGAATGGAAATCTCAGGGAGCTTGGGAGCCAATTTCTGCTCACAGCACCTCAGGAGGGTGGAAAATAGCCTCTTCAAACTGCACTTAATAAGACAGGTTTATCCTGAAAATGCATTGAACAACTCCTGTGTTGCTGTTCATTACTCAATAGTTCATGTAGTACTGTGGGTGAATGGAGCCTCCTGAAGAAATACACAACCCACTACAAACATGATGGAAAAGAGATGCATTTCCTCTAGATGTTGCAATGTCATCTCCATGCAAGACCATCAAAGCAGTGGTAAGAAGTCTTCTTTGTCATGAAAGGGCTGACCTTGTTGATATGCAGGGAGATGGATGTTAAATGGCTTAACAAAGTGAAATGGTTCCTTCAGAATGTGGGATTTTGCTGAAATCATAGAGGGAATAGATACCACTTCACTAGAAATCACTGGACTAGACTGTGTTTATTAAACAGCAGAACAATTTGACTTAATAAATCGTATAAGCTAAGAATAATGAAACTCTGGTTTGTCCACTGTAGTTTTATTTTTACAAGTTTTGTGGATCTTAGATAAAACTGCTCATAGCTTCTTACACTCCATACCAGAAATCTCATGTACCCAACTGTGTCCCTGGTTGTTTGTAGTTTTTACTCTTTTATCAACTGGTTTTGTGAAAGATATTCCCTTTCCTTGCAAATCTCACTTATATCTATGGACCACTGTGTTTCTAAGAAACAGGGGCTCCTTCTTAATTCAGTCACATCCTATTTGGGCAACCAGACAAAATAAGAGACAATTTTGAAAAAAAACAGCAAATAATGATAATTTGCTAGATGTCTATCACCTGATTTTACCAGTAATGGCAACATCTTTGGGTAAGTTTAGTGAGTTCAATCTGGCTGAAATAATTGTCAAAAGAATTTTTTTCCATTTGAGTTCTTTGTGATACAAATCAGATGTTTTAAACAGTCAACACTTACCTTAGCAGAATTTTAAACATCAGTTTAAAATGCATAAACCCTGTATTTTAGGGAGGAGAAATAAGGAATAAAACTCTTCAAGGCAGCAAGGATCCAGTATATAAAAGTAGAGTTAATTTTAAAAATTAATTCTTGGATAAAATCCCCACTGTTTCCCCTCTACCCCCTGGCCTACCCCCAAGTGGAAAGTGGAAGTGGCAGCTATTGTGGTAAAACATTCCTTGGTCTGTCTATGCTGGAGAAAATGAAAAACCATTAAACGGATAATAGAATAAAAGTGCAATGAGATGTTCAGAGAATCCATCAATAAAAGGATGGCAAGCAATTGCTAAAGACAGCCCTTTCTAAATGTAGCTTTATTGCCAGAGGATGGAAAATTGAGAGAGAATGTGCAAACAATTGAATTTATGGTAATGGCATATAAGCGCATTGTACCACCAAAGCAAAGCTCAGAGCAAACATAAAAGACAAAATACACCAATGTCCCATGGAAACCTTGTGTTTCACCCATTATCTCTTGGTACTGGAAACTGTAATATTCTGATATTAAAATCTAATTCATTGCAAAGTGCATTAGGAGGCAGTGAGGGTGATGTTCTGCACCGTGCCTGCTTTAAGGTGAATTGTTAGACTAAAAGCGATTCGAGGCATGAGCAACGAGCAGCTTGCTCTTGTGTACTCCAGGTAGCTTTGTTTCCTAGCTTCAGTGATACCTGGACAGTCTGATGTTCTTACCTTGACAGTTTATGGGTAAATTACTTTGAGATAATTAGAATCAACTTGAATTTTAAGCCTGTTTGAAAATGCACTGTCTATTGAACCAGCAGAGGTGACTGCTAAATGACAGGTAGGAAGAAAACAATGAACTGATGGGCTCAGAGATGGAGCCTCCCAATAACCAGGTAAATTGGAAAGGGGAAATCCAACCTCTGCTGCAGGTTACAGAAACCATTTCTGGACAAAACCACAGCCAAAGCCTTGACAGAGCTAAAACTCTATGGCTGAAAAAACACAGGCAACTGCAAACTTCAGCTTTGAGACAGACTGCACTCAGTGGTCAGGCCAGGGAGGGATGGGGAAGGCTTTCCTGTAAGGTATGTTTTGATTTTTATGTGCAAAGAAATTGTGGGCAAATTCTTTTCAGAGAGGTTATTTATGTGTGGGTTTGTTTTTTTTTTTTACTCCATGTCCCCACCTCGTGGTGTCAGCAGCCTGTTTCAGGAGCCGTGCCTTCCCTGATGACCACGTGTTCCTGCTTCGGCCCCATCCGCCTTGCCGCTCTCATATAACCAACCCTGCTACAGTGCTGCTGGCTGGGCCAGGGAAGTGTCCCAGCACTAAAGGAAGTCTGGAATTTATTTTTTTTTTTAATGTGTAGATAACAGACATGACATGTTTGGGTGTACTGTGGATAGAGCAGTGGGCATTGATGGGATTACCTGTGTTGCTAACACTTGGTGCATTGAGAGTCTAAAGGTAATTTTTTGCAAAACACTGAGAGGACGGAGGGTTTGCTGGATTTATCTGATGTGGATTTGGGGTTGAGGATAGTGCTTAGAAACAGAAAAATGGGAATAAAATATCCCAGGTCAGTACATGTCTTTCAGGACACATGCTCTCTCTGAGATGGGCATGGACATTGCTGAGCCTAAATTCAGCTAAGCTGTTTTTTCTGTAAGTCCTCTGCAAAGACTGAACCTTCAAACAAGCTTACCGTACTAATAAGTCCTAGATTGGAGGAACAGAGCAAAACCACCTTTGAAAATAACAAAAAAACCCAACCAACCAAAAAAAAAAAATCTAGTTTCTAGGAGTTACTCCACAGACCTCAATAGCAAACAATAAGAATGGAAAATAAAGAGTTTTGAAAATGGTAGAAGGTTCCTATGCGGTAACTAGCAGTGAGATACCTGCTGGGTTTTAAAGCAGTAGGGGGACAAGAAGAGCCTAAAGATACTAACTGGAGAAATGAAAATAAATAGCAGCAGCCTGTCTGAGCCCGGCCCCATGGAGAGCAGAGACCGGAGAATGCTACTGAGTGTGAACAAAAACCTGAGAGTGTCCAGCTGATGGCCCTGCTGAGCTAGTGGGACAAGCTACCACCAGGTAAATATCTCTTAAACAAGATTCTTTTTTAAAGATAAAGGCTTGACTATTAATGGCTTGGGCTGTGGCACAGCTTGTGTCTCTTTCTCTGAAAATTTACTAAAAATGTAATTAGTATGTATTACAGTGTTGTTACTATTAATGACTCTACCATTCCCGAAGTAAAATATTTCTCATTTATGAGGTGGGTTAGGTTTTTTCTGTTGTTGTTTTACACAGTTTTTGCCTGAAGCATAACAATTGCTGTATCTCTAAAAAGCCCATAAATGACAGAGGCATGGCAATGTGAGTTCTGTTGAAAGATTTAGGCTATCGTTCCAAGAATTGTAGTTGTCTTGGCAGCAAACAAGGATTTAAGTACCTTTGAGACATTTGCCTTTAATTGTGGAGGAATGGCATCACCAGTTGCAAAAATGTTTAACCTTCAGAAATGGTTGTCTTACTCATTAGGCTCTCGCTGGGGCACTGATTACAAATACGAAGGCTGGGAGAGGTATCTGTAGCATGGCTTGGGGGGCAAGCAGAGCCGTGGGGGTTCAGCTGGCCCCAGGAGATCTCTGGAAATAGTTTATTTCTTTGAGCAGCTAAAGGTCTGAGCATGATAATATAATGTCACAGGCAGCAGCTCTCTGTACCTTTAGCTGGGAGGGGAAAAGTCACACGCCTGATAAAAACTGGGAAGCAACTACAGTGCTGTTGAGGGCTGAGATGAGGTCTGGCTGTGTCCCTTTATAGGGCACAATGATTGTGTCATGTTGTTTCCACCATTTTCATCTTAGGCATAGAGGAGTTTGATGCATCTTGTGTCTGAGGAGCAGCCCCGTAAATAAGTCAGAGCACATGGGGTATGGGGAAGAGGTATTTTAGCTTCAGTCAGAGAGCAGCTCAAGATCTGTACACTTTTTCTGTACTACCAGAACTCTTGTGATAAAAGGTATACACCTGGAAAATATTTTTTCTTTAAATTCCATTTTCCCAGATTATTTTTTATGCTAAGAAAAAAATTGGGTAGCCCTGTCTACAATTTTTTGAAAAGCAGCAAGAGAAATAAATACGGATAAAATCTTTACAACTGTGAAGCCTCTCTAATTATGAATGCTTCAAAACTTGTTTGTGAGGAAGCTGTGCTGGACTTTGCAAGCACTGATAGGCAGCCACGGCTGCTGCTTTCTCCCTGGGAGCTGCCTCTCCCACGAGTCACCACCAGCACGGTGGCGGTTCAATGAGCTCTGCCAACGCTGGCTGCATGAAATCACCAGCTAGTCATAATGAGTGCTCAGCAGGCTGTCCTTGCGCCTTCTGCCCCCTCCAGTCCCTCAGCCAGGATTCCTAATTTACTCAGTTGTCTTTTAAGCACAGATCTGACTCAGTATTGTGCTTGTCCCCAACTTTCTTGATTCCAGTAGAGTGGCCAAAAAGAAGCAAACACAGTACTGCACCTCCTGGTGTCCAACGCGGCAGAAATGCCTGTCTAAAGGCTGGAGTTAGGCTTTCCTTTTACGTAAATTAAATAAGTTATTTACAGAGAATCTTCTTCTTACAGAGAACACGCAGAGAACCAGTGTTTCCTTGTCAGTCACTGACTTCTGCCAAGCGCTCAGCTTTCATTCTGGGTCTGTTCACCATCAGCCCTATCTTCAATTTATTCCATATAAATTGAGATGCTGTAATTGAACTTCTCCAAGTCTGCACAGCCTCATCTTAAAGTACGCCAAGTGTCTTATCCAGGCTTTGATTACTTCTCTGATGGACTACAGACATCCCGCTTTTTTTGTTTATTAGGCAGCTTCTTGTCTTGGTTATAGACTTGAAAACTCCATCATTTCAGTTGCACAGGTCCAGCTTTTCTGGTCTGACTGGTGCTACCTTACTCTGTATAAAGGGAGCAGAAGAAAGAGGTGTAGGAAAGAAAACGTTACCATGGGTAGCAGTCAACATTATAAGGAGAACCCTGGTCACGCATATCATATGCTGAATCCTCTAAAACTGTAAAGCTGAGGTGTTGAGCAGTACCGAAAGAGACTAAGAGAAGGCCAGAGACCAAAAAGATAAATGACATGGATTACCATTTCACAAAAAAAAAATAGCAGATAAATTAGAATAAAAGAATTTTTTTCAGAAATTTTTGCCTAGCAGGACAGGTTGAAGCAGTAGCAGAATGCCCTATCTCTGGGAAGTGGTCAGTGTCTGGTTGGATGGGGCTTTGAACAACCTGGCCTAGTAAAAAATGTCCCTCCCCTTAGCAGGAGGTTGGACTAGATTATTTTTGAAAGTCCCTTTCAACCCAAACCAGTTCTGTGTTTCTATAAAAACTGTTTATTACCTTTTTCCACTGTCAACCCCTACCAATTAAATATTCACTGGAAGATGAGCTTGTCTTGGGGTTGCAAATTTATGTCTGAATCTTCATCAAATGGAAACATGCACCTAACAGGCTGCTAAAGTACAAATATTCTGATTTTTCACCTGCAATGATACCTGAACTTAGAAAAATATTGAAGATTTATAAATGCCATCTATCCCCTGGAGAACGGAGCCTGACTTGAATGCATTTGAAGGTGCTGCAAATTAGAAATGTTTTAATCATGTATTCCCACTGGTAAGCACACATAACAGCAGCAAATACTTGTCCAGATGGATGAACGCAAGAATCAGTTTTGGCCTTAAGCTGTCACTGCTCCTGGTCAGTCACATATGTCACTGGTGGGTCTTGCTGACATGTCATCTTTCCTTACTGAGAGCATCCAGGTGTCTTCAGCTGCTTGCCAGCCCTTGCCTTCCTTCACTGGGTTGCTCCCAGTCACTCTTCAGGCTGTGCCAAGTACATCAGACACTGGAGAAGGTTCATCTGCCAGCCTTTCACAGGGGAACAATTTGGGACTCTTTCTCTGGAGGTCAGCAGTACTGCCAGGATCCTGTATGATTTCAACAGGCTACAGGAGCCTGACAAAAAGGTTAAATCAGACATTTGTCTGGCACAGTTTGAATTACTCTATAGGACAGTGCAAGGTACTGCCTGCCAGTGCTGCTGCTCATTTAGCTGCGCTTAAATGTTGTTCAGGCAGCAAGGAGTTCTAATAAATTATTGCTGAGCAAGGAGCATGGATATAGTGCTGCGTCATAGAACAGGACATTTTTAAACTAATTTCAGTCTTTCTAGGTCACAGTTCAGCTTCTTTCCTTTGAACTCCTGAAGGGGAATTCAATCTATGTTCAATGTTAAGGTGGGGTTTCTGTGTCCTTTTGGCAGAGCCGTGAATGCCTTGGCCTATGAACTAGTAGCTTTAAAAAGCCCCCACAACATCGGCTGCATAATTCAGAGGTCTCTCCATTAATGACGTCTCTATAACGCACCTCAGGAAAGGCAGGCAGGGCACAGAGTCCCAAATGGATGGAAACCAAGGAGACTGGGAAGAGCCCTGGCATTACCGACCAGAGGGTATGGCTGTTTGCATGTGGCAGTGGCCAAACGTGCTCCATGGAGCAGGCAGGGCAGTGGCCCTGCTCCTTAGCCTTGCTCTGGGTTTACTGTTTTGCACATGAAATTAATAAGACTTGTCATAAAAAAATATGCGCATTGGCCATCCGTGTTAATAATTGACTTAACGAGGATCTGACCGCATCTAGCCCATCCCAGAGAAGTTAATTGAGGGGATTGTGTTTATAATCTGGCTTGAGAGTCCTAATCTCCTGTTCTGATGCTGCCAAGTCACGGATTGATTGATTTATTTTGGTCTTTTGGAACAAAATAACAACCTCTTGAGACAGACTTTGGCAGTTTCCCAAAGAGAAAGTACACAGCATGGAGAACCAGGAAAAAAAAATATAGGCTTTTCTGCGGTGTTTAAAAGTGGATTGCTAAAGCCTGCTTCCTAGAAAATGTGAACAGGTGAATGTCAAGCTCTTAGGTTAGCTTCGGGTCCTATGAAAAAGTTTATTGTTAGCAAGAAAGTTATGTTGTTTTGTATAGACAATGGATGGTGAAGTTTTTTCTGAGAATTGGTGCAAGGGGTTTAAATAATAAAACAAAACTGGTCATCCCTGCCTTTTGAGGGGAGGTGGGTGAGGTCTTGCAGAGGTAACCTTCCCCTAGGTCTGGGGACCTCCTCTCCAGAGGACCTGCCTGACTGCTTGAACTATTCTATAATGGAGCAGGTCAGGGGGAGGCAAAACATGATTCTGGTGAGAAAAGGAAAGGTCACCCATAGAGAAAGACTGCTGAAAATTGCAACTGAAAAATGGACATGCTAGAGAGCCTGTCAGGAGATCTATTTCTTCATTTTTTGCCGAAGTCAGACTAACTGAACCTAACGTATTTTTTGGTTAATATTTTTACATGGATAATAATTCTAATAATAAGATAGATAATATACTCGCTCTGTTCCATATTTTATCCATTTTGAAACAGCTGATTACTTCCCTGAAAAAATCCTCATTCTTTCCTGTGGGCAATCAGCATATGATGTAGGTGCCAAACCCATAAAGCTGTACTTTTTCTGTTCAGGAAAAGTGAGCAATCTTCCCTAGGATTCCAAGGAATACACTTGTTTCATCCAGTGTTTTCAGACCTGGGCAGCATCCACATTGGTATAATAAAACTTTGGGTGAACAGACCACATCTGCTTCTTTCCCTTTTTGTTTCATATGTGGGTTGTTAAAGGCTTCTACTGTTCAAACCACTGAACTATATATGAATTTTCTTTGAACTTACATTTCTTACATTTCTTTCTTTATCCAATTTGCTCTCTTCAGCTTCTTGGGAATGAGAGCCAGTGCAAAAGCAGTAAGCCTGACAGGGAAGTCCAATATCTGAGGGTGTTATGAGATTACAGCCCCAATCTAATAAGGATAGATTAGTTTTATTTCCAATTTAGCCATGAGCATTGCTGGTTGAACCAGATATTAAATCAGACTTCTAAAATTGTACCTGTACTCTGAGCAGCTGGTCAGCTGTGCTGATCTCCAGGCTCAGTACTTTCTCTTGCATCCTGAAAGACCACAGCCAAGACTTGGTGGAAGCACTGCAAGCCAAGTGTATCTCTGGTGTATTCAGCTAAATCACTAAAATGAGCCTGAAGTGATTTTGATCCAGCCTCCTGCAAACAGATCTATGGTGCTTCTAAACTTATGTTTTTCATGCAATTCTGTAGTGGGGTTGGTTTTTTTCCTCCTTGACAAGCTCTTTGCTGCACAGTAGCCCCTGTTAGAGAAATACACCATGTGAGTCGGTGCCACTTTAAAGGGAGAAAGGATGACCAGTAATGACCACGGCTGCTGTAGTTTGCATGATGTTTGGTGCTTCAGTGACCATGCAGCTGAGCAAGGGGTAGGGAGGGAAGGGTCCTCTGGAGAGTCTGATTCACATCAAGCCGACTTTGTTCAGTTCCATAATGAGAGATTTTTTTTCTTATTTTCAATTAAAATGTCAAATAAACTATTTGATTTGGGTTCATTCACAGTGCAATTCTCCAGCTTACTGACTTTCAGAAGGCTTGCAATATGCTTATTTTTTTAAAAAATCCAATTACAGTACCAGAAATTAATTTATTGGATCATTGATTTTCCAAGGGGCAGAAGGTGGCTTCAGCCTTTTGGGGAAACAAGACTTGGGTAACATGAGTGGCTTCCCTTGTGTACAGAGTGGTGCTCTTTTTGGGCCACAGTCTGGAAGCATCCAGGAGCCACCCATCGGCTTGTGCAGTTAAACCCACCCAGACAATGTATATTCATTTTGAAAATGGAGGCAATCATGCAAAATAGAAGTTAACTGCTCTGCTAGAGGTCTCAAATGATTTCATTGCCATTAGCTGCATTGCTAAGCTTAATCAGCTGTGGAGAAGTTAAAGCATAACCTCATTTCAGGCTGAGGAAGAGCGGTGTTCAGTCGAGTGGTGCCTGTGTGTCAGTGGGTCACAAGCAGGCTCCTGGGAATGGCCAGGTAACACATCAGTGACTGGGATGGAAACAGTATTGAGGACAAAGGGTCAGACTGGGAGGAGGGCTAGAGGAGATGACTACTAACCTATTTTTTGTTCACAACTAAAACTCCAGTCTAGGTAACACTCAGGGATGCTTTTTATAACCTGGTTGTCCCTCCTCCACTTTAAACAAAAAAATGTGCGAGTGATGACTCTTTTAAATCCCCACTAGCTAGGATTTAAAAGTGTCACTGAAACAGGAAACAGCAGTGCAGGGTTTTCCTGTTTGTTCTAGAAGGTGACAGACGCATCTAGAAACTGAACATCTAAGGGCAGTGACCCTTACAAACCAACCAAAACCTGAAAGTCTTTCTTAATTTTGGTGGTTGCTCAAACTTTAGGAAGTCATCTTGAATGTTGAAAGAGGTGTTTTCTGTTAAAAACTATCTTAATTCCCCATCTCTTTCTTCAGCTACTTGCCCAGTAGCTCTCTGGAAGGAGATATGTTTTCAGCGCACATTGCAGCACTAAAAACTCCTTGCAGGCTCCTTAGGGCAGGTTCACATTACGCCTTCAAGCACAGAGTGAACCAAAAGGTAGCTACATGTTACTCTGCTTATGGAGTGGAAAATAACATTATGCAGAAATATCCAAGAAGTTTCTACTCTTACCTTCGACCTACTCCTATGCTGTATTTATCCCTTGTAACTCTATTGGGATACTCAGATTTAGGAATGCACTTGTCCTATGCTGTGCTCATCTGAGGTGCACTCAGCTTTTTGTTGCCTTCTGGAGATGACTTCCCCTCTTTCCAGGACCTGGGGGAGGTGTCCTGCTCTGCAAGGCCCCAGGCTAAAGTACCTCAAGACCCCAAACAGGCCCCCCTGAGATACACTTTCTTCTCTGCAGAATCAGGCTCAACATGAGAAACCACCTCTGCTTTGCTTTTCTCATTTAAACTTCACCACCTTTTCTAAAGAGACAGGATGTAGTGGACAAGTTAATAGATGGGGGAAATATCTCACTTTCCCGTGGTTGTATGAAAGGTATTTATAGGGCTACAAAGATACTGCATGCAAATAAATTTATTAACACCTGATGCTTTCAAAATATTCTGCACAAAAAAAAACAACAACAACAACAAAAAAACCCACAAACAAAAAAAAAAGAAAATATCCAAGTTATGGTTCTCAATGTCACTGTATCTGAAGTTAACTTTCACACATTTAATCCTTTCTATTTGATGTATTTCTTCAGTGGTAAATTCTAATCAGTCTACTGTGTTGAGCTCTGGCCAGACATCTGTATCTTCAAGAAGGTACTTGCACCCAATAGTATGGAGGAATTTAAATTAATCGGGGAACCAAATCCATTGGAGATAGTCTGTACAGTAAAATGAGCTGTACAATCCATCTAGGTTTATACCACTTTGGATGTGAACTTAAGCTTTTCAGTTCTGACCAAGTAGTCTGCTGCTTGTCTTGATAACTCCCTCTGTCATGCAGACCTCAAGATGAAGCCCCACAAGCTGTGTCTACAAAAAGGCCTTTGACAAGCAGACTCCTGTTCTCTCTTGCTGGCATGATCCACAAAAGCTGCTCCAAGCATTGTCTCTGAAACCACTGCCAAAGTGACCATGGGATGACATGGCCCTTCTGGGAAGCTTCAGTGGAAACCTTAACCTTGTAGTCTACCATGAGCAGGTGTTTCCCAGCACTGGCAGCAGGTAACTCTTTTTTCAAAGCTATGGGTGCCATCACATTTTGTTACACAGTTATGAACCTACCTTGAAACATTTCATTACAGAACATGGAAGATGAGATGTGCAAGTGAAAAGGCTTTAGCTGATCTTGTGCAAAATGGGGGGGAAAGCACAGCTTGTGCTGTATCTGGAAAAGAGAAAGAGACCAAAGAAAGCCGGACTGGTCTCACATGAGCCTTCCAGTTAATTTTGAAAGTAATGGCTCTGTAGTCTTTCATTTTGTTGGAAATGGCTGGCTGGCTTTCACACAGTGGTTTTGCATTGGTGTGTAGTTGCTGGGTCAATGTGTTTTATATTTCTTTCGTTTTGTTCATTGGTTACACTTTTTATATTCTGCTTTTTCAGTAACTTGCACTGAAATGCTCAACAGCTTTCATATAGTCCCTGATGGACAGTCGTCGATCAGAAATGGGATTAAATGGGAGCAGAGGACCACAGGGACCTGTGGCTGGAATGGCAGAAAACGTGAGGGAGTTCATTCTCCTCCATTTACCCCCAAATGTATGCACTCTTTCTCTGAAACATGACCTGTAAGTTAGGCCTTCTAATTAGAAAAACTAATTAGAAGGTGGAGCAGGGAGGCATCCAAGGCTGAGCTGTTCTTGGTTTTCTCCCATACTTTGAGCTGTCAGTGAAGGAGTAGGGAACAAAATTGCTGTTGAGCGGGAAGTGCGTGTGCCTCGCTGTGCTGCTTCAACACCCCAGCTGGAACCAGGGCTGCACTGTGTCAAACACCGTGTGTAGGTATACAGCCATGAGGGAGGAGGAGTACGAGGAGAATGCAGAGTGAGAAACCCTCTTCCCTCTCCTCCCCCACACAGAAGAGGCAGTGCTGCAAGCTGGAGAGAGGCACCAGAGCTAAGGGTGGGAAGGGGAGACTGAGGAAGCAAGGGGTCACTGGAAAAGACCAGTGGATATCCCACTGCAACCTCAGTGCCCTGTCCCCTGAAATGCTGCACCCACACACCCTCCCAGCCCATGCCACCCACTCATCCAACCCCCTGCGAGGTGCTGTGGTCAGAGGTGCCTGCCAGCTACAGAGTCATTAGTGAGAGTTTCAAAGAGGTTCAAAACAAAACCACAGTGATGAAGTGGGAGTGAACCTGAGAGGTTAGTTTACTCTTTAATGAAATTCCTGTTTCAAAGTCTCCATCTCTTTTTCACCAGGGACCAGCGCTTTCTTTAAGCAATGTTTAGAGGACACCAGTCTGCAAGGGTAATCATCCTCGCCTCTGGCAGGAAGAGCTCGTGCACTAGCATTTCTGAAAAGGTTCTCTTTGTGAATAATTGAATTTGTCTCTGGAGTTCAAGATTTCTTTTTCTGTGGGACTGACTGCAGCTTTGCTTCTTCCTTAGGTGCAGCTTACTGTAATTGAGGCAGAAAAATTGTATTGCAGTGGCGGGTTTTGTGAGCATGATGCATAATACGGTGATTGCCATGGAAAGCGTCATTTGTAGTGTTCCAAATGCCTCCTCCAGTAGTGAATGGATCTGCAGAAAATAATTAGAGGATCCCCCACTGCCACCCCCTACTCCCACACAAGGGGAAAAAAATTAATGCTGCATGAAGTGTCCCTGCCCAGCGGGCAGAGCCCTGTGCTGCAGTGCACTGCTGGGGACACATCCTGAGTGATACTCAGATCCCATCAGTTCCTGCCACTGCCTGGGACACAGGGGACTAACATCCAGGCTTGTCCAGCCCAAAAGAAAATGCTGTGGTTCACGTATCCACTGATAAGGTATGTCACTTGCTTGGGCACAGCTTCTTTTCCTCTAAAACCTCCCAGCCTTGCAGTGATTTCTGGGTTTCTCTGGAACAGCAGGAAAAATCTGCACATCCCAATGTGAGACACTCACCCCTGTAGCTGCCCCACCAAGGAAAAGCCAAACGCAGAGATATACTTCTTCCAGCTACCAACAAGGTCTGCTGTCCCTGGGCATGTTTCAGTACCACCTCTCATCCCTTCCGTCCATAACCTGGTGTGTGACATCCAACTGTGGCATCTACAAAGCTGCCTGTGAGTAACTTTTCAGGAAAGGGGTAGTGGGGGAAGAAGGTCTCATAATAATTTACCCTGCTGTGAGCAGGACCTCAGGTCTTGCTCCAGGGAAGAGATGTCTCCCTGCCAGCAGGCTAAGTGGTGTGTCTCAAAAGTGGTTTTTGATGCCATAGGCAGAGGCAGGGCTTAGCTGTTCATGCACATGAATGTCAGTAGCAGGGTGAATGACAATTTCAGAATCTGGGCTTAAGGTAGGAATTGGGGCAAAACTCAGCTCTGAACTGAACAAAAATCCATCGAGCTGAGAGGTTTCTTTCTTGTCTGTCTTTCATCACCAAGCACAGCAACTGCGCTGGGTGGCTGCATTCAGCCAATACAATGTAACGTGGCAGCAGTATATTTTTAGAATATTATTTTAGGGGGTGAACAAATTCCAAGGGCAACATACAGGGATATAGTAACTTGAAAAAGCTGCTCAGGGATTTCTGTGGCTATTGAATATGCCACACAGCGCTTGGGCTGTCTTGTCAAATTGCAATGCATATTTCAGATCAATAAAAAGGCTCATTTAAGACTGTTTTTCTCCGTGTTACACAAAATATATTCTCTCGTGGCACAAAGCTTACATGACCTGATCAGCAGGAGAAGTAAAGGTAACTCCAATCATAAATGAAAGCCCAAATTTTAGATTAAAGTCCAGTTTTCTTGGACTCCAGTATCTGCAGGAAATCTCTGGGTTCTTTGTGGTCTCTGCTGTGAACTGGAAACCAGAACATATCTCTTTGATATTTTTACTCCCTTCTGTGGCTGTCAATTGCAATGGCTTGACTATTCAGTTCATCCTCAACTTCAGGACTTGTTAATCCTCTGGGACAGATCTTTCTCAGGTTTCTGAATGACAAGCAGAGATTTCCTCCCCGAGGACAATTCCTTTAGCAGTAACCAGGGCACCCATTGCATTTCCTACAATTGCTTTTAGTGCATTTCCTCAGGTAGAGGAAGCAAAACAAGGAACTGTGCAGAAGCATTTATCCTCCAAGAAGTGCGGAGCCCTGACTGCCGCCTCTCCAGCACTATTAGCTGTTTCAGCTGGAGCTGGAAGGATAAGCCCTTCCAGCCTTAACCCATCTGAACATGCAACCAAAACGTTGTGTGTGCACAAATTAGGGAAGTTGTATTGATGCTGTTTACATCTGGTAGTGCACAAAACAGGGAAATGACTAGTGAGGACTTTCTTTTTCACTTTGTACCTTGCATCCTGGAGCAATGGGGAGCTTCATGGTGAGCAAATGTTGACAGTCAGGAAAAGACATGTCAGGACCCAGACGACTTAAAGATGGACCAGCCACCCAAGAGAGGGCACTGCTTGTAGAGAGAATAGCCTGTTTAAGGGACTGTGATACTTGTCTACTCTGCCCTGGTGGATGGACTCTCTTCCAAAATCCAAAGGGTGAGTTGTCCTTGGGCCCCCAAGAATGGAGCTATCAGGGGCAACAAGCCTCCTACCTGGCTATCCTGCCAAACACTCATCCCACCTCGGGAGGAGCCAGCAAATAACCTATGTCTATGCTGTGTATATGAGGTGTCCTGCCCTTCTCTTTTTGGTTTTGGGGAAACAAGTACGATAAGCAGGAACTCAAACCTGTTTCTTTCTGAAAAGCTGCCAACACCAGATCCAGTTTGCATAAGACTTGCCTGCAATGAGGTGCTTTGCTGGCAGGCGTGTGCCTAGCCCATGGAAATGCAGCGTGCTTCGAGGACCGCTCAGAAGGATGTACAGGTGACATACAATAAAGACAGGTGACAGGACTGACAGGAACTCTGCTCTTCTGCCTGAGGGTGCTGCCGTTACCAAAGCTGACAGCTGAAGGACGGGGCAGGGGTTAACCACACCACGGGATGTTGCCGTGTGTGATGCTGTAATTCTTCATCTTGCAGAAAATAATTAATGGGCTTCTCAGGAACGAAAAGGAAAAAAATGTGAATGTAGAAAACTCTCAATTCACTCTGTTATAATTTAGGGGGATTGGTTTTGTTATTTTGCTGGGGTTTTTAAAGATACTGAGTATAGAGAGCCTAGAAATAATATATTTGAGATATTCTGGACTAACACGTGAAGAAAATGAACCTGGGGGAAAAAAGCTTTTTTTTTTTTTTGTATGCTAGCTACCATGTAGTACACAGAAAACACAGAATCATCAACATTGGAAGAGATCTTCAAGATCAAGTCCAACCACTAACCTAGCACCATCATAATCACCCCTAAATCATATCTCAAAGTAATTATATATTCAACCTTAGACATTTGACATGTTTTTGAGAGCATTTAAACCACTAAACTGCTTATTCTGAGTTTATCTGAAAAGACAAAGAGAAAAAAATTGGTCTACAACGCGGGCTTGCAATGTAGATGTTTTCAACCTAAAGGTTTCACCAGATGTACTAATTTTATCACTCTGGCAGGAAACTGAGGCTTTCACATTTAATGAAGCATTTTTTTGAAGTCACGCTAAGTGACTGTGTTGCACATCTGCACGGGGCAGACCATTTCAACTTCCTTTTCTGATGGGAGCACCAAGAGAGATACATATTTACCTGAACTTCATCAAGTGAAGATGGAAAAAAGGTGGCTCTTCTGTCTCTTTTGTTTCCTCTGGGTGCCCAGCATCACAGGTAGGAGTATCCATGGGACACCTTGATTCATTTTATGATGGAGGGTGGGGAGGAGTAGGCTGGGCTTAATGTGCCTCACTAGTGTGTCTCGTATCTACTGGCAATGATTTACTGTTTCCTGACAACTTTCTAATCACCCAAGTTATAATGCGCAACTAGTAAGGAGTAAATGGCTTGTGCTGACCAGCAGATCACTTCATTCAAATTGCCTAACCTCCCAGAATAGTAAATGAGATCAGCTCATGTGTACATAGGGCAACGTGTGCTCATCTCAAATGGGTCAAAAGGAAAACTGCTTCCACTGAGGAAAAAAAAACAACACCTCTCTCTCTCTCTCTCAGACACACTTGTGTATGCAGAGAGAGGAAGAATTGAAACACTGCAAGGCAAGGGTAAATTGTACAGCTGCAAACCTTTAAATAGATTCTTCCCTTCTCCTTCCTCTGCCAGCTCTATGTGCTGTGTTAAAGGCTTGAGAAACAAGTTTGCCATCAGAGCAAAACTTTCAGAAAAGTAGAGTAAGGAGGGCTGCATCCCTGTCAGAGGGAATTTAAATCAAAAACAATCCAAGGAAAACCAAGAAAAAGACTGATGTTCTCAACACCCTCCACCTACCACCGCCAAAAGTCTGATCATGCACAATGCAGGAATACTTATTATCAGCTAGGAAGAACAATTTTGTAGGATACACATTTTTCCAGTTAATAAAGGAAAAACTGCATGTATCTGACTGGCATGGTAAGATGCATCTCAGAATCTGACATAGCCTGTTCCTATTTTCTTCATCACTGAGGCAAACTGGATTTAAAAGAAAGGAAAAATAATTCATATATGTATTCATAGAAAATAGAAATTCTTAAATGCAAAGAAAGAAATAGAAGCCTCAAGACATACACATGTAGGAGAGCAATTCTAATTAGAGAAAAATAGGACTTGGGGTTTTTTCTCCCTAAGGATGAAATCCTCACTGAAGTCACTCTAAGGTGAAAGTAGATACCACCATGCCCTTTGTAGAGGTCAGACACCTAAATGTCTGTGAGTTACTCCAAGAGATTTCAACTGGAGGACAAGTATGACCTAATGGACAGTATTTGATTTGGAAAAACAAAGTTGACATAAAATGAGAGTGCTTATATTGAGATGCTAACAAAAAGTTAAGAACATTTTTGCATGAAAGGGTTTCAGTTAAGGTAACCTAACGTGCTAGGCTACTAACAAATAACACAAATTAAAATGTTGTTTCTACATATATAACTTTTTCATCTTAATATAAAGTACTCAAGTGATTATTCATAGGCATTCTTTACATGATCCTTTGACCTCATACAGCACCAGCATGAATATGAGACACATAAGCTTGTTATGTGTCTTTTGCCTTGTAGTCTGATGATAAGATTGCTAATTGCTTTTCTCCTTAACTTTAGATGGTGCAAAACTTGTAGTGAAATCAGTGAGCATTTCCTATAATAATCTCCTTGGACTGACAAAAATAGTTTTCAGTAATTTTTCTCACAACACTTGTCATTCAGGCTGAGTTTTATTTACCCTCTTACATCATCCCATCTCTTTGAACACAATTAAAAGATGAACAGAGCAAGTGCAGCAATGAAACTACAGAGATTAATGTTGGCATGTCCATTCAGTAGCTTTGTTTTCCCCACACCTAGGCTCTACGTGTCCATGTCACACTTCAGTGGATAGGTACCAAATCTCAGCCACCTCTGTGGGGATGTGGCACTCTGCCCTTGTTCCTTTTCCCTGTCCAATCAGAGCTGATGCTGCACTGGGTCCCTGTGTTGCTCCTGGCTGAGCTGGCAGAGCGTGGAGCACACTGCAGGCACCGTCAAGGTTGCCTGACCTCTGACAGGGCACCCCCTGGCTCACGTGCCCCATAGCCCTGCACCACATGGCAGAGCACGTGTCAAAGCAAATAAATGGGTATGCACTTTTTTCAGGTAAAGGAGGTGACCAGAGGGCACTTGCTGCCATGGGGAGCCAACAGTGTGCCTGGTGGGACTGCAGGGCAAATTCCCAAAGCAAAGATACGTTGATATTATGATACACAGGGAAGATAAAATCCAATGTAGAAGGGGGGTGACAAGTCTGTTTCTAAGAGCAACTGCACAGTTCATTTTTTCTGTGGACCTGCATGCCCTTTTGGAAAAGGGGACTTTCTGTATATGGCTCTGTGGGTGTGATTGATTACTTGTCTCTCTATGACTCCCCTATACATAAATTCTTCATCTCCTTGAGTTTGTCAGTACCCTGCATACAGGGATTTGGGGACTGCAAGGCTCTTACTCATAGGAGGGAGAAAGGGAGATAAATCAATTTTACTACAGCAGCAGCTAAACCAAGTAGTACAGGCTCCTGCTGAAAGCCCCTTCACTTCATCGATCCATTACTCCTTTATATGGCACACTAAGGACTGCCACCTGCTTTATGAAATTAATTGAGGAAGAAACCATACGTACCAGGGCAACTCGCTCTGACACTGAGACAGGCACTCGTTTAGGGCATGCAGGAGATGTTTAATAACATGGAGGTAAAGGAACAGCTTTCTCTGCCAAAGCAGCAAAGGCAAAGGCAATGGGCGGGAGAGCCGGTGTGGGGCAGAATTAGCCAGCAGGGATAACTCATTTGTTCTTGCAAAAAGAGCTGGGGAATAACCGGGGCCAGCTTCTGCTTTATTTATATTACTTGAAAGATTTCCATTTTCACAGAGGCCCTCAGAGCTCCCATTTCTCTCCCACAAGTATGATAGGAGCTCTCTGCTCTCTTCTAGACGTACATGCATTTGCTTTCCCAGTTCTCTCTCTGCAGTCTGTACTGGTGGAAATTTGCTGTAAAACTCCTCCCTGGAAAGCCTGTGATTACAGTTGTAGGGTCTTCATAGTTGTCTGTGTCTAAGGCACCAAATCATGTCGAAGATGGCTTAGGAAAAGCTTTGTTTAAACATTACTTGCACTGAAAATGATCCTGTTTGTTTTTAAGGCCAGTCTAGAGATGTCATTACCCAAACAGAAGTGGTCCACGCTCTGCCAGGTACTGACGTGACCCTGGTGTGCCTCTTCCCAAAATCACACACCACCCACATAATACAGACACAGTGGTCCAAGACTGAAGAAAGCCATTCTACCAAAATAGCTGTTTATCACCCCACTTATGGCACTCATTACTTCAAATTTTCTGAGGCTTCTTACAATTTTTCGGTGTCCTTCAGCACAAGGAAGTGCTGCAACCAGGATGTCACAGAATCTTTGTGTTCCACCAATCCAAACACCACGTCTGAATGCAATCAGTGGGCTCTGCATCTGAAAAACGTCACCGTCGCCCTTAGCGGGCAGTACAAGTGCAGTTTTGCTACTTACCCATATGGGACAAAGGCTGCAAAAATTCAACTTATCATCACGGCAGAAGGTAAGTGATGGTGAATGAGATGTTGCTTTATCCTTACAGGGGCGGGGGAGAGTATCAGGATAGATGGTGACCTGTTTGGAGTTTGCAGTGGTGCCCCTGAATGTCGCTGCTACAGTTCCCTGTTTACCAGGCCCTCTTTAGTTGTTGTTATCCAGCTCGTGATTAGGAAACCTTATTTGTTTGGAGGAATATGAAGTAAGGCCAAAAAGGTATTGAGATGGGAAGTTTCCGCATTTTTATTTTGGAGAAACGTGCTGTGGAGAACACTGGATGAGCAGCTCAGGATATGGCGGGACCAAGGATGGTGGATCTCCAAACCATGCTGTGCTGCTGCTATGGGCGTGCAGCATTGGGCACCAGAAAGAGAAAACACCATTACCTGGTTGAGACTGAGGGCTGGCCTCTGCAGGGCATGCTGGGTGTTAGCTCAGTGTCCCCACTGTCAAAAACACACTGGAGCAAAACAGGAGATTGCTTAGGACAATCACAGGAACAGAGACTTGGCTGCTTCTGTCAGCCAACAGAAAGCTGTAAAGCAGCATGACTGTTCTTGGTAAGTAAGCCTCAGGGGAGTGTGTGAACTCTAGGGAGGATATTTAAATTATTCCAGGAAAGGAGCAAATTGATTTAAATAGGTGGTAACGGATTTGACTACAAATTAAACAACAGTGGCAATTGTTAGTGCAGCAACATTGGGAACAGCTATTTAACGTCAGCAGTGAGGGCAAAAGACCAAACTGCTGTGAAGATGGAACTGGGCAGGGACACTGAGCAAGCCTGCTGTTGTACACGTGGGGGACTAGATTTGATGACCCCAGAAACCTCTCCCTGACCTAGGTTTCTGCTAACAACCCAAGCAGGATTAAAGTAAATGCAACAGACCCAGCACGGTTTCAGTTCAGAGCTGCAAGGCCAACATGCTCACTCTGCTTTTGCCCAGGGCTGTAGGTGTAGCAAACATTCAAGGGTTAGGATCAGGGTGGGTGCAGGTTATTTCAAGGGTAGGAAAGGGCAGCTCTGCTCCTACTGCCCTTTTACCTTCATGATGAGGCCAGACTGGTGGCAGGAGGGACACTGGTTCCCATGCTGGATCACACTGGTCCTGCAGCAGGAGGAGGTTTTGTGCAAGACTCATATGCAGGAATGTTTAACCCTCACTCCTTGTTGGCCCCTGCATAGCAGTGGCTCCAAGCATTTTGGTGCTGTTATCTTGGAGACACACCTCGGGCAACCCTGCAGAACCTTCCTGCCCTGATGAACTCACAGGAGCAAAATGAGAGCCAGCACCTCTGTGCAAGCCACAGAGGATGGGTGTGTTTAAACAGTACACGCTGGATAACTGTGCCAAAGATAAATCTGCTGCTCCACCGCTGTACAGGGGTGTGTTATGGTAGGTTCCTCTTGGGGAATTTTCCTGTGCTTCACAGGGCAGAGCGACTGGATCAAGGGGAGTGCAGTGAGGAACAAACAGTGCTGGTAACCCTGTGAAACCCTCCTGTGTTTCTGTTCCTCATACCATGTTTCTCTGTCTCTTTCTTAACACAATAACAGCGCTAATCAGGCATTGCTCCTTTTCTCTTGCTGGTGCCCTTGGTTGATACGGGCATGTTCAACACTGTTACTGCTATCTACGCGTTAAGCGTGGGCAGCTCTTGTTCATATCAGCATCGTTGTGGCTTTTTTCGGTAGCTACCTGAGGTAGCAAGCTGTGGTACCGACAGCTGCTTGCTAGAGAGAACCAAAAAATTCAGTTTGCTACCTCTTGCAGGTTTGTATTTTAAGGTAACCAGATCTTTTGCAATGAACCACTTCCACACAAAAGAAGGCAAAACCCCCTTAATCCAGTCTATGAGTGGAGTGGATAAGGGTGCTTAGTCACTGACGAAGTAGTTTCCAACTACGTCAAACTGAAGTGAATCCAGATGGATTCAGCTTGTAGATACTGCTAAAAGCCTGCAGAGCAGCAGGCCTGCATAGGACAGACAAACACAGAGGACTTAGCCAACAGGCTGTTAATGCAGATGGGAACAGAGATGGGGGAGTGGGAAACAAGCAGGTGACTGTGAGAACAGGCGGAGACTGTTTGCAGGCTGAACTCCTGGGGTGACTACTCATCTCTGTACTTGTATGCTGTGCTGGTACTTTTACATGGTAGATTGTCCCAGCAAAGTCTCCTGTGCAGCTTTCTTCCTGGACAAGCTATAGATTTGCTTCTTTTGTCCTTTTGTTATGCTTTCTGCATTATCCAGCCCCTTAGGGCTTCTGCACTCTGTGTCCTGCTCTGAGAACTGGCTCCTCAGCTGCTTCACTCTGGTGGACTGTGCAGGAAAGCTGCTTCTGCCACTGGGTTTCCTGGTCATAACTCTGGGCACTGCCTTTCTTCACGTCCCCGTGGCACAGGCTGTGTGCTGGCATCATTGCTCTGTGCTTGGGTGCCAGATACAAAGGAATTTACAGTCACTGCGAAGTCCCCACTGACAAGTAACGTAACAGTCAAGGACAGCTAGATATTCTTACTCCCCTCGAGATAAAAAAATAAAAGAAATACATATCTACTCCATCTCAACATGCAAACCAGAGCTACCAGGGGAGCAAAGTTGAAGAGTTTCCCTGCGGTGTGCTCTGGTGCCTGCCTGCAGGGAAGAGGGATGGCAGGTCACAGCAGGCAGATAGGATGGCACAGCCTGCTGTGGCAGGGAGGATGGCACAGCAGGCTGCACCACACTATCATCCACTGCACGGCTGGGGGTCAGAGAGGTCAGTGCTGACCACACCACTCGTGGCACCTCCAGCCCATCACCACTGTCTTCCTGTTTGAATGCATACATGCACCCCACTTCTTAGCCACAACTGTGCTCTTTCCAGTGCACTGCTCTGCCCTCCCACAGCTGGGCTGGAGCCCTGGGCTGGGAATGGGTAGGATAGAAAATGCTGAAATGCCTTTTCAAATGGATAAGAAAGAGTAACAAGTTTTCTGCTTCTGGAAGTGGGCAGGTTGGAGAATAACAGGAGCACTTACGCTGAAAAAAGGGGTTATTCTTAACCTGACTGACATGCTGAATACCCTGCCTAGTGAAAAGAAGGTCTGCAGATATCTTCAGAGAAAACCAAATACGGGTGCACAAAATTGATGTGAAGGTTTATTGCCCAGGAAAAAAAAATTGTTAGAGAAAAATTGAAGCTTCAAATTATTCTCAGCTCGAAAAGGAGACATCTTGATCCTGCAGTTAAGAAAAGCTTTTATAAGAATTGCCAAAAAATTCAGGTAAAGCTGTGAATTGAGTCATGAAACTACGTCTAGAATCAGATGTAGGGCTTTCACTTAACAAATGTGTCTATTGGTAATGGTTGAAAATTACAGTTCCATTCTAATCAAAAAAGTGTCTGTTCATTGAACGGAAGACTAGTCAGTGTTGGTTTTCAAAGCACAATGAACATCATGTTTCTGATTTTCCTTCTTGGCTTTTTGTTGTTGTTACAATGATAAAAGAGGAGCAGCACCACCTGAAGAAAGTGTGGTTAAACCAGACTTTAGAAATTCCATGCCTTGAGGACACGACCTCAGAAAATTTGTCCACTTATCCTTTGAAATGGGTAGTGGTAAGTATTTTTCATCTCAGGTATAAAGTTCAGAAAGGACTACAGGGTATTTTTGCAGACTGAAACAGAAATATTCTATTCTAGTGTGTCCTGCAGAACCTGCTAAACAAAGCATATCAGTCACGTTGGACTGTGATAAAAAAGGGAAAAAATATAAACACGGGTTTGCCACATACACACCATAATAGCTGTTAAAGAAACAAAGAGGAAAATTCCTTTTTTTTCTTTTTTTCTTTTTTTTTTTTTTAATTTTTCAGGACCACACACAGAGCAAGGCCATGGAAAGTGGCAAATATAACAGAAGTAAAATATTTCTTGTGTTGGATTTCTCAGGAGTTTTTTCTCTAGTGAGGCTTTAGTATCTGAAAAATACATGGTTACTGTGTAGGGTAGTAAGATATCAAGTTGCTTTGAGATAAAAAAAAGGTACTGACTAATATTTTTGGTTTTGTTAACCTCTGTGTCACAGATGCCCACTGAAGACATGTAAACCCAGTTATCAAGCTAACCACATGAAAAACTATTTTAAAGCAATTTGCTGTGAGATGTAAAGCTTGCTATATTTTTGTACTTTATCTCACTCTCTGGATAAATATTTATAAGCATGTTTTAATGTAACCTTTTAACACTCATTTGAGGATATAAAGATAAGTATCAGCAAGCAGTTCCTTAAGCTTTGCCTCTTCATTTATATCCATTGTCACTCCTCAGCTGTAACTGTTGAGGGTTTTCTTAAAGGTGATTTTCAAATATTTTTAACCTTTTGTCCTGGTTCATTATCTATTTAGATCTCCTCTATGCAGTTCATTCTTAACATTAAAATTTTAAGGGGACATCCTTTTCCTTACTAATTTTTAGTTTTGCTAGTTCACTCTACAAAGTAGCAGAAGAAAGGAGAAAAAAAAACCAAAGGTCAGCACAATGACATATGTGGATTGCCATGTGTCACGCAGAGTAAAGCTGGCAAATATGTACTGGCACAGATGTCCGAGATATACCTCTATCTGTAGGCTGTACCTATATCTAAGGGTGGCTGCCACACAGACAATAAGAGGAGATGACTTTTGGCTAGTATTATCAGATTCTAGCTATTTAAAATTCTAAAAGAGCCAAGTTTTTCTGAAATTTCAGTCGTATTTAATATGTATGGGATGTTCAGCATAACTTAAAGACTGGTGCAGTGAGAAAGCAGCTCTGTTGCCCTCTCTGCAGGATACAGAGATCAGGATTCATCAGACACAGCTATTTACTCCATATTTTACCGGTAAGAAGATGATCGCTCTTGGTGTTGAAATTCTGGGAGAGAATGTATTCAGGAAAAAAAATAAATGTTGCAAATGTCCACTTGCTACTACACAATGCTAAGGGTGAGAGGGAAGATTTTCATAGTGGGAATAGAGTTGGCCTACAAAAATATTTTTCTCTCCGGGTGTCCAGTCTTCACAATACGGTGGGTTTTTCTTTTCACAGGGTGACAATGGCAGGAAAGAGGAACTCGTGACCAAGGAGCCCTCCTGTCCTGCCATGTACAGGAACAGCAGCGCAGTGTACGGGCAAAGAGTCCACCTGGGTTTGAATAACACTCTGCAGATTTTCCCCACCAAAATCACTGATGATGGCAGGGTCTTTTCCTGCCACGTGGTGTATCACCCAGAGAGAGTCCGGAAGAGCAGCACCACTGTGAGAGTATACGGTAAGGGGCTTGTGCCAACTGCCTGCTTCCTTGCACTTGGAAGGGTAATGCTCCTGTCTGGTTCTGAAGCCAGTAACTTGAAACATACCGATTGTTGTTTTTTTTTAATATAAACATATTTACATTGTAATTTTTTCAGTTGCAATGAGGTAAAATGTTAGAAAATAACCCTGTAGTTCTTAGAAGAATTTGAGGCCGTTCCTTCAAGTCCTTCAGTTTCTGGCATTAAAAAATAGTAGATCCGTTGCACATATATCACCCCCACTGACAGGCACATGGCCAGTATCTTCCCCGATGTGTAGGTTTATGTTTGCAGGCTACAGGTCATCAAGATCTCTGTGCCCCAAATGACCATGCTGCCTGTGGTTAGGAAATCATGGCCAAAAGTTAGTAAGCAGTTTGGAACTACTGTTGTTGCAAAGTCACATCCTCAAAGGTATGTGATATTCAACTGCTGCCAAACACTCTGGCACTGAAAATGAGGGTCCTGGCTGTGGAGTCTCCAACTGGTCAGGAGTGGTGTAGCCTCTGTACTGCAAACATGTGGGGTGCCATTTCATGCTGGAAGCCTTCCCCATCTTTAATTACTTGCTCTGTTCCCTTTCTAGTGGCTTAGAAACTACTCTACAATTGCTGAGGTACAATTGAACCAGAAAAATGCTGCCCACTTGAAAACTAGGTTTTATTTTCTGTTTATAAACCAGTTGGTCTGGAAAACATATTTCCAAAGCTTCTAAAATGAATGGGTGTTAAACAGTGGGTCTGTCAACAGTCCCTTGACTGTAGCTGACTGTCCAAGTAAGCCCACACCTTGAGGGTGGCGTGGCCATGCGAGGCTGATGCTCTGAATTCAAAGGAAGGTTCAACAGGGAGCAGCAAAAAAAAAAAAAGAAAAACGTGTCTGGGGGCTGTTAGTCACTGATGTAAAAGAAATAAAAATAGAAGTTAATGATCTGAAATCTCCTCTTGCGTTTGCATGATTCAGACAAGGGTTTTATTTTAAAATATTGACATTTGTCAAATAGCGACAGTGTTACCTGGGTAATTGTTCAAGTATACTAACATACTTGAACTCTCCCTCCCCTCCATCACTGCTGATGCTCTCACCTTGATTTCTGTGTCTGTTAGCCTAAGAGGTTGCTTTATTTGGATTTTCCCAGAATTATTGTGAGGTGTGTGCTTGTCTGTGCATGCGCCCACATCAGCATATTAGCACAACAGGGTAGAGAGGCAAACAAGAGAAGGCAACTTGGTGGTGAACAGCTCGTGTATTTCCCAGTAAGTGCTGGCTGGCTTTGAGGGTGCTGTGCTGTCAGCCTCTCCCACAGGGGTCCTGAGGGCAGACTTAGGTGCAGGGGCTCCCTGAGAGCCCTGAGGTTTGTGGTGGGTGCTAAAGGAAAGTCTCTCAGACTTCAGGCAAATAGAGTACACATCTTGGAGGAAGTGTGTTTTTGTGCTCCCAGCCCCTCTACATCTGATATTTTGCAGGTAAAATAACTATTTTGCATCTGGTCTCACTCTTTTCTGTTACTATTCCCTGAAGTCATGCTGCTTATGATTGCACCATACCAGCCTTTCTCCATTTACCTCTCTTGTCCTGCAGCAGGATGTGAGGCCAAGAGCAGAGGGTTTAGAGCCTCCCCTGCACCATCACACATACCTGTGTACCACTGGCAGGTCAGAATAGGCAGAGACAGTGGCCAGAATAATCCAACACTCTCCTGGTGACATCTGGAGACAGATGAGAACACCTCTCTTGTTCCTTGTGCTTACCAGGGAATGAAGAAATGAACTTTTATGTCCTGGCAGTTAGATCCAGCCTCAAATGGCTGGAACAGAATTTAGAGATAGTATGTGTCTACAACATCAACAGCACGTTATATTGGTTATATCTGTTGTCTTGGCCATTAGCAAGGACACAGCTAGAGAGCAAAGACCAGCTGAAACCTGGGGAGATTTTCCCATCTTGGCAATTGCCCTGTCACCCAAACACTCATGCAATTGAACCCCACGGGCTGGGTGTTATGAAACAGAAGAGAGGGCGGGTGATGTTGCCTGCAGAAAGCTCCTTGTGCAGGATCACTCTGACAAATGCTTCAGGCAGGGCTAAACACAGCAGAGACAGACCAAATCTGAGGGGCAGTGAAGTGGCACTTCCTCACAGTTGAGAGCTGGGCAGGAGAGGATGGGGAAGGCCTGAAAAAGTCTCTCAATGAAGTTGAGAGTCTTTGTAAGTTGAGTAAAGACAGATGTTTGAACAAGAGAGCTTTTTTTTAGGGGGTACTTTTGGACTGAAATACTTAAAAATATTTCTTTTCTATAACAGAGTTCTTTTAGATACAAGTTTCTTGGAAAACGTACGGCCTTTTCAAGTCTAACTTCACCAAATATTGACTTTCCCTTTTTGTAACAGTAAAAGCTCAGCCGCAGAAACTACTGAACTAAATATTGAATTTCCACTAGATACAAAACATTGGTAAATATCCTAGCAAGACAAGTGAATGTCAAAATGTTAACAGAGGCTGAGATGTTAATTAGAAAAGATCTATTAGATTATTCAGAGCTATGCATAAGAGTTACCCAGCAAACATGTCTTCTGAAAAAGCAGAAGACAGCATCCAAAACAGATGTGGAAAAGTGTGCCTATTCTCATCAAAAAACAAAGAGAAGAGCATGCACTAGACTAGACATCATTTAGTCTCCCAGGCAACTTTTTTCTGAGATTAGAAGATCCAGTTTATCAGACTTTTTCTTACATCTGAAAAAGTATGCTTGTCTTCTGCCAGCTCCACTACCATCTGTACATCTTGTTTTGGCAAGGCAGAAACAAGAAGGAAATCTTAATACATTCATTTTCTGATAGGAAGAATCTACTAACGTACCTCCCAAAACAAAACAAAACAAAACAAACGAGTAAAGAGCAAAACCAAGAAGGAAAAAATATTAAAAAAAAAAAAAGGAAACTTCATCCAAAAGTACCCTGAGACCAGGAAACCATAAGGCCACGATAATTAAATACAGGTCATGACCAGGCATAATCCGTCAGTAACATTAAGCAGAAAAATGGAAATTAAAAAAAAAAAAAAGAAGTCAGGAGAGTCTTTAGAGGATTAGCTATATAATACAAGATGGAAACTTGAGCAGTTCAGCTCAGAGGGGAATGTAAGGGAATATATCAGGGTAAGAAAAAAGAGAAAACTATCTTAATGTTAGAGAATAAAGTGAGATTTAACTTGGAAAGAGAAAGAATTACAGATCTCCTAACTAATCCAGGGGCAGCACTTGTTTCCAGTCGAGTTTCAAGGCTCAGAAAAGGCCAGAAGTACAGTTTACCTGAGGTTTTTGAGATTTTTTTATATATTAACACAGTTTCAACAGTCCTTACTTAACAATTCAGTTAATATTACTCCAAAGCAGGGATCCCAATGGCTACTTTAGAAATGCTGATTTAGAAAGGCTTACAGTACCTGATAGCTTTAATTTGTACAGTCAACTTCACCCAGAACCAATATGCTGCAAAAACAAAAGAAAACACTTTTTCCATTTCATGTGGATGTGGTCATCCACAGCCTGCTGCTCTGATGTGAAGGTGAGCTCTGGGCTTCCTGGCAAGGCAGGAAGCATCTGTGGTGTGACACTGTCACATGTCTGTCCAGGTGACAGCACGTGGGTGGCTGGTACCCAAAACCAATCAATGTTTTTGGGGATGGCTGAAGCCTTTGGAGATGACTTTGATTGGCAAGCACTCAGAGGAACCAACAACCAGGGTGTGTTTCATTTCATCAAGCCCAGGAATGGTGGCTCTGCTGCCAGAGCTGTGACTGCAGGACGCTTTCATCTTGTTTCCCCAGCAAAGCCACCCTAGAGTAGTTTAGATAGACAGTGAAATACATCATGAATCCTGTGGCAGTAGCTGCTGATCTGTGCTTGTAAACCACTTCCTTGACCTCCAATCGCAGCTGTGCAAGCTTTTATCTTGCTACTTGTGTGGGTGGAGTTAGGATTTAATTTCAACTCTTTTTATGAAACAAGGCTGTTAAGTCTTCTTAGAAGCTGTTACTGTGATCTTCAGTGTCCATTTCACTAATGCATATATGTTTGCTTTTCAGCTTACCCCGAGATCTCTGTTAGTCTGCAGGAGGGCTCAGCTGGCACCTTGCAGAAGGTGAGCAATTTTGGAGCAAAGAGTAAGGCCTGTGACTGCCACCATGCCACCCCAGCAGAGCCAGGCAAGCTGAGCTGAATCAGACATGGGTGGGACATCAAAACTGACAAAGCTCACAGGGCCATGGGCACGGCAATGAGTTAATGTCAGCTGTTCATGCCTTTTCCTCTGAGCAATTTCCATCCTCACAGCAGTGAACTTCTTCAGTGAGCACAAACTTGACCTAGCTAGGGGCTTCTCTGATGTGTGGGCAAAATCTGGTTTTATGTTAGCCCTAGGGAAGACTCCAGGACAGATGAAGGGGCTATGTGGTTTGCAGGGGGCTGCAATTCTCCCTTTCCCTCCCCATCTGCTGGCTACTACCCAACAATCTCGAGCTGCCCTCTCCACATTGCATAAAATCCCTCTCTGAAAAAGGTCACCTGCTACCCAGGATGCTACTCCAGGGGGTCAGGCAGAGGCATCCTCTACCTTCCCCGCAGCCCCCCTTAGGACAGGGAGGACAAGGTGCTGTGGGAGCAATGCTTGGAGCACGGACATGGCCTAACACACTGATGAAAAGGTGGTGATTGTGTTGGGCATAATGTATCACACTGCAAGCCTATCTCATCTGGGGCAGTCAGATGCCAATAGAGCAACTAGATCTAAGTCTGAGAGTCCCTATTTAGAGCTGAGCACTTGCCCGTGTGTTTTGGGGCCTCTGTTTTCTCACATGCTTGGTAATGGCAAAACCTAAAGGTCTGCAGATCTGCCATACTTGGCATAAAACATATTTGTGGCACATATGACTGACTAGCAAGCCACTCTGGCTACTAGCTAGGCTGCTTTGCTTCCTGTTCCATCTCTTCAAGTTGAAGCTTTTGATCTGTGAGCATCCCAAATTAAGGTTTTCCTTGGAAATGGAGCTTGTGGGCAGGCAGAACCTTGCACTAGCCATATCCACCTCCTTCAGACAAGCCATGAGTCAGTCGGTTCTGCAAAACTGACTGGTATAATTTTCATGATGACCTATTTCCATGTGTGGTGTTGGATATTGCAGGCTTTTGTCTGCACTGTCCTGTTGAACAGAGCAAGGGTGCTGCCATCATGGGACTGGACAATAGAAACTCCTCTGTCGGTTCTTCATCTCCTAACAAACACCAACTCCTTTACTTCTCTTTTCTTCTTTTTCTTGCAGGGCTTAGATCTAGTAAGGATATCTGATTTGTATTTCTTCATAAGGAAGCATTTATAAAAATATTATGACCTAAAAGTGACTGAAAAATAAGGGAATAATGAAGAGAAAATAGGTGAAAGCAATACAATAGATGCTATTTACCATGGCAGGGAAAGAGTTTCAGCTGGGTAGTTTCAGTCTTTGTACTGAATGATTGATTCTCCCAGCTGCAATACATCAAGCTTGCTTTCAACTAAATGTGGGAGCCACTTTCTTCGAAAGTGGGAGCAAGTGGGCCTTGTGCTGTATGAGTAGCACATGCTTTTTTCTTTTTTCTGTTTAAAAGGACAAGGCAATTTCTCTTATAACAGTGCTTAGTACTTAGCAGTGTCATAACCTGCTAAATAAATGTGATTGGGAACATCCAGGCAGCATGAGGATGAGACCTCCCACCTTGCTAGTGCCCAACCCCTCATCTAGCCTTGATTTTGAGGTTCTTCCCATCTATTGCTTGATGAGAAATTAAATGGAGTACAAAAACAGATTTTTGGAGCCATTGGCATAGAGCCAGGACTACTGCACCTAAAGCATCAATTTCTGGAAACCTCTTGCATATTGTGCCTGCTACAAAGGTGTCTAATTTTGTATATTCAACAGGCTGGGAAGTCTTTTTCATGAGATTTGTCTCTCCATCTGCCTAATGAAGGGAGGATTTACGTGGTGATCAGAAGGTGTCTTATTCTCCATACACACACTGCCCATTACCAATTCCAGTGTTTTTCCATGTGGGCGTTCGTCACTGGCGGAAGGAGGGGTGAGGGTCACCCTACATCTTTCCAGTCACAGCCAGGGCTAGAGAGGGTTGGAACCTTTTCATCCAGAGCAGTGGGGTGTCACTGGACTCTTAACAGTGCCCACAACCAGAAAAATGAAGGGAGTGGGCAAGAAACACAATAAAGAGGAAGCAAGTGTTTCCTTACAGGGCAGGATTGTGAGTTAACAAGCACTGTCCATTAGGAAATTTGGAAGCTAGCAGCAGGGTGAGGATGTTGGAGGCTAACCTAATAACTGCCTTTTCCTGCCCCATAGCCCAGCGTGAGCTGTGTCGTGAGGAAGGCGTTTCCCAAGCCAAGCCTTGTGTGGTACGTGGACAGAGCGAACCTGTCGGAGCAGCCTGGAGGTAAAGCAAGTAAAGCAACCTGTCAATAGGACAATGGCACAGCTGTAGAAGTGGTTCCCAAGAGAAGGGATGGTTGCTCATCCATTCCTGCCACAGGGAGCCTGCAGGAGTCTGTCTGGGTGAAGGGGAGAGTGTCAGACCTCCTCAAAGGGAACAGATGGCAAATGGCTGTGACCACAGACCCCTGCAATTGCTAGGGATGGGAACCATGGTTTGGTATAACCACACTGTTCTTGACAGATCTTTGGTAGTGTCTCAGCAAAGAAACCTGCATCTATATGAACCTGTTTTCAGTACCAATATTTTGCACAGTTTTGATTTATGGTCTGGAGTGAATGAGAGGGCCTTTTTCTTTTTTCCCCAAGAAATTCCTGTTGTACAAGAAGATTTGCAAGACAGTGAAGGTTTCTATCTGATGAGATCAACGCTGATGCTGCAAGGGACCCAAGAGACACATAAGACATTCTCATGTGCATGTCTGTTTCCTTCCCTCGGGAGTGAAACATGGAATATTTCATCGGAAGAAATATTAGTTTCATTTGGTAGGTTTTTCATAGATAAAACACATCTGAGATGTTAAGAACACCAAACACATGTATTCACTGTTATTTAAAATACTGGAGGAATCCGAAGAGTATGGAAGCTTTATTGTACAAGTTCATCTCACAGCTTGAACTTTCTGGCAGGTTTTTTAGCTCACATCTTTGCTTAAGCCTCTAAATGAGCTAAGAAACTCCAGCACAAACAGAAGATGCTTGTTGTTTGTTTAGGCAGTATCTTGCTGTACTTCCCATACCCAAAAATAGATTAGCATAGCCACATGGCACCAGTGAGCTATTATAATCATGTGTTTCCCACTGAGCATTTGTGGCAGAAAGTCTGCATGTGTGCAGTGCAGCTCCCTGGAAATCCAAACCCTCAGATCGGGGCTGTGTTATACATCTTCAGTGAAACTTGCAAAAGGTTGAACCATTTTGGATGACGGAGAAACTCTCCTATAATCTGTACCATAAGGATTAGCTACACAGTTAGGGAAGTGTCCTGCTTTTTCGGTGAAAGCGGGAGACTCAACATTACAGAGGGTTTTGGCACTTCTGAGAATGCAGAGGGGCTGGTGAGAAGATCTGACAGATTTCCTTTAGCACTCTCTTGTTCATGTCTCCTCCTCAGGTGCAAATGCATAGTGACACCTTTTTATTATTTTTATTATTATTATTATGCTCCTTGCTGCACAGACAACAGGACTGAGCTGCTGACCCCTTAGCAGCATCTGCTGGTACATCATGTACCTTGGCAATTGCTTGCATCTCAGCTGTGTTCACTTGTGGCTGTGGATATGCTTATTGGTATGTTTTTCCACAAAGTAAGACTGCATCAAAAGCCAGAGCTGACTCCTCTGGAAATACAGCTTCAGAGGGAAGGGAGATAAATCATCATTTTCTCCAAAATTTCTCATTTCACCCAATTTGTAGTTTTGTAGAAATATCTTCAAATTGGAGAGCCGTCAATTAAAGCAGTCTAAATTCTTGCCTGCAGGTTATGCTAATGCTAAGATAGATCTACTCTGTATAAAAACATTAATGTATTTAGAAATGACAGAAAGGAAAGAATCACATTAATTCTCAGCCATGCCTTCTGCGAAGGTGCACAGTATGACACAAGCCCAAACTAAATTTTCAGCCTTTATAACTACTTTAAAGAACTGGTTTCATCTTTCTCTTTTTTTTCTTCACAGATAATAAGTCTAATGAAGCTTCATCTGAAGCTTTTCCCACCATGGTTTCAGAAGGTAGGATAAATTAAGAATAAAATAACTTGGGTTGTGTTAGAGGAATCTATAAATTCCTAAAGTTGTTGTAACACTTACTACAGCAAGAAACCCCTTCCTGCAGCTATGACTTCAGAGAAAATACAATAAACAGATATTTTGGTGATGTAATCTATCATAATTAAGACCAACCATAATTAAACTCCAGCCTTGAGGGGCACATGATGTTATTTCTGATGCTTCAGCTGGCATTTGAATAAAGCTCTTTCAGCACTGAACTAATAATTAAAAATAACAGCCCTGTTAACGGTTCTACCTTCTGCTTAAGTACATAGCCAAGATCCTCAACACTTTTGCCTAATTAAAGAACTGATAGAATGTTTCTTAATTTGTGTAAATGTGGTAAATCTGTGCTCTGCCCCTGCAAGTTTGTCTTATTATCAGCTTATTGCAGACAGATAAATGTTCCCTCCACACCTCAGCTGAAGCCCTTTGGAGACATCTGTCCTGGAGCAGTTTGTTCTGCTCCTCGTGGGAGGCAGCTGCACTTTAGCAGTGGGTTACGTGAGTGTGTCAGAGAAATGTTGTAGACAGATGGCACGAAAAGAAGTGTGGGTTTCTGTGTAAAAACTTCTACAAGTGCAGGTTGTGGCAACCCCTGGGGGTTCAGCCAATACTCCACTGCACACCAGAAAGTCATCCCAGTCACTGGGGGTCCCTGAGAGAGAGACTTTGTTTTCCACTGGCCTCTGCAAGGTGATCTCTCGCAGGAACCCCGGCAGCTCGCATCAGGTCACCATTCTGCTTCATCTTGCACACTGCATAAAGTCACTGGGAGCTGGGCACACCTCAAGGTGCCCACTGCTCTGCATTTCAGACCTGCTGCACCTTTGGTGAGGAGTCCTTTTTGTCAGCCAGCTACTGCAAAATCCCTGCTAGTGCAGGCGAGGCTAAGATGAAATGCAAATGGAAAAGCAACAGTCAAAGGAAGTGCAAGTGCTTGCACAGAAAAGCAGCTGGAGAGTTGATAGTTGCCTACTTATGCTAAGATCTGATCTGCAGAGGGTTGCTCCCACCCAGCGCCCTCCACATGTGCCCAACCACACAGAGGTACCTTCTGGCTGCCTTCCCAGATGTGTTTTTCTAATGGGGTGTGTGAGCTTCCATAGACTATCTCCTTCATGGAGCCCTTTGGGGAGACATAATCCATCCTCCTAAACTACTCAGGGAGTACTTTACCTCTTCTCCTGGGGAAAAAATAATACTGAAAAAGTGAGAGGTCCTGAGTCTTACTCAGGACATAAATGCTGCTTGGGCAGGATGGTCTCTCTGCTTCACTTGTCTGGGTGGTTAACAGTTCTTTAATTACAAGGAATAACTCCCCCTCCTCTTCTCTGAGGACTCAGTGAGCACTTTTCAGTGCAAAGGGTCTCTGAAATTTCCTGTCAGAGTTACAGCCTCCGAAGTGCCTCGTGGATGGAGCTGTGCAGGTGCCACCGCCAGGTCATATATGTTATTTCAACATCTGTGCTAATAAGGTACATCTCTTTGTATGGAATAAACCCATGTGATTCTCTTGTGCTTTTTAAGTTGAGGTGCCAGGGGCTCCAAAATTTTTCCCCCAAAACCTTTGTTTCCCTAGGGATTTCACAGCACAGTTACCTCAGATGCTTCATGTTTCTCTCCAGAGAGAGAGTTGTGCATTGAAAGATTATTTGGAAATTAAGTGTGATGTACTTTCTCACTCTTGAACCTTTAAATCATCCACTTTCCTAAAGCAGAATAAACACCTCCCTTATGCTGTTTGCTTTGATTTTTTTATAGACCTTGGTAATTCAACACTTACATCAGCTGTCATGACTGCCTCAGGTAAGGTGAATAAAATAGAAGCCTTCATTATAAAATATATGTAGGATCTCTGCTTGACCACTGCTTAAATGTCATGTACACAGAGCCAGAGATGTGCCAGGGAAAGGTCAGTGTGCTCTGGTACTGACAGTACCTGTGTCCTGCTGGATGGGAATTTGTGAGCTGTAAAGTCACTCAAGCAGAGATCCAACAGAAATCTTATTAAAACCGTCATGTTAGGACAGCATGTAAAATGGTATCCTGAATATTATACACTGTTCTTATGCATTTTTATAAAATGGAATATTATGCCTATAGAACTGTAAATAAATTTGTCCTATTATGACAGAGAGGTGCATGTGATAGAAAAGTTAAAGCCACCACTTTTCCTTGACCCAAGAGCAGCACATCATTCCCCTTCATTAGTTATGTGAGATAGCTAACTCTGTTTTACCAGAGCATGCACATGGGTAACTACATAAAACTCTCTTCCTTTCTCCGAGAGGAAAACCCGCAGGTGATCTCCTCAGCTTATATATGGCTGTGGCATGTTGTCATGGACCATTTCTGGAAAGGCCCTGGATAAATGGGGGAGCACCATCATCAAATGCATGACCCACCCCACAGCAGTTAAACTGTACCTGTGTATAAAAACATAAATAAGTAATGTCCCCATCCAGCCCATGGGAAAGGGCCAGTATTAATAACATCAGCCATCTGTGAGTGCCCCCTGAATGTGTGAGATGTGTTTTGAGCATTTAGCCTTAAGTCTGACAGCAGGATTTCTGCTGCAGAGTCTGCATTCACCCAACAGCTGCCACAAGCTTTGATCTAGGCTGTTTTATGATTTATTAATATTATTTTCTAAAGAACCCATCAGCTAAATGTGATACCATGTAATCTGTTTGTCTTTAGAGCCCCAGTCGACATCTTTGGCCTCTCTAGATTTCACAAGTCAAGCAAACTTGGCTCCTGCTTCCATAACACAAGGTAATCAATTAAGCCAAAATGTTTTCTCTATTTCTTCAACAATGTAGGAGAAAAACACATAAATACAATAACCATTTTGCTTTTTTTGTAGCAAACAATTTACTGTCTCCTGAAGCCCTTTTCCTAGTGCATTATATACTAGGAAGTATACTAACCACAGTCAGTATAACCACAGTTCAAAAGTAAATATATGAGAAAATGCTTTCGTGATTTTATCTTTTTTAATGCTCCATTTAGGATATATGCACTAAATTTGGCAACTGAACAGACATCAAGTATATATTAATTAGTGTTATATATTGTATTGTTTACAAAGAATACCTATTCTCTTTAATTAAATATCATACCAAAATAGAATTACATTAGAGCTAGAAAAAGTGCAACCCAAACATCGGAGCACAGAAGTCCAAATACAAAACAGCAATAAACAAAACGTTTACAACAGGTAACTCAGTAATTTCTTCTTTAGGCTGGCAACACCAAGACCAGTGGAGCGCAGGGTAACACTTAGAAGGGTTTAACCTCTCTTCTCCAGGTAGAGGTTAAACCAGCAGGCTGGACAGTGCAGCAGCAGCCTGAATCAAGAGCAGGTGAAGCTGAGAACCTCCTACCTTCTGATCTCAAAATACAGCGTTAATGCCCACCAGCCACAGCAGAGTGCATTTTCTTGCAGGACAGCCTGTCTGCAAGCACTCTTTTCTTTAAAGTCTCTTTTGAGCCCAGCTGTAGGACTGGCTGGTTTTAAGCAGCAGATAGAAGGGTGCTGGGGTAGCCCTCACTGGCAGCAAGGAGAGGTGTGCTCACTGCCACAGCTCCTGAATAAACACACACATGGCACACACTCTTCACTTTAGACAAAGAAGCACATGCAAAACAGCAGTGCAGGCAGCACAAGGAGGAGGCAAAATGGCAAGTTGTTGTTCCTCTCCTTAACAGCACCACAGCTTTGGCTCAGGAATGATGCACCGCTGAGGGAGCCACCAGCAAGAGTGGATTTGGCCCTTAGTATTTGCAGAAGCCTTGTTCTCCCAAACAAAAAATTTGATTGCAGCAGACTTTTATGAGCCTGTGGGGCATTGACTATTCTTCTTGGGCTGTGTAAATTCAATCCCGCAACCCTCTCTTAAAGTAACCTTAAACCTTAAAGTTACTCTCTAGCAGAGATAAGAGAGCAATGTGAAGGGCAGCAGTTGGGGGTAATACTGGAGGAAGACACCAAACACAAGGCTTCCTTGTGGGAGTTGAATCACTCAACATAAACCCCAGGGGCACAAAGAGGCTAGACAGAGATATGCCAAGGCAGGAACACAGACTGCAGTGGCACTGAAATGAAAGTTTGCTGCTTCTCATGCTGCCGTCCCCATCCCCAAACCAGAGACACTTGCCTGGCTGAGAGCAGAACAGCAAAGTTGCTTGTCGAAGTGGACTGAAAGCCCTTCTGTCTCTACAAAAAATTTAATGACAAAGGCTATAAATACACAGTGTGAACAGAGAAGATTCTCCTCGCTGAATTACACATCTTCACTGGCTGAGGAGGTATGAGGTAAAAGTCATAATGTAAGGTGGAGCTGAGCCATTTTTCTTCTGTTAAGTAGCCCAAGAAACAACTGCCTTTTAATGAATGCTCCCAACATGTGGCAGTTGCAGTATGCCAACCTTGGATTGGTGCTTTTCCTCTCTGGCTCGCTGCTGGTTCTCACACTGGTGCCACTATCAGCTACTTGAGCAAATCCTCTGGGCTGCAGCTGAGTCAGGATGCCAAGTCCAAGCCTGTTGTTTTAGTCTGCCGGTTTGGTTCAGTTCCTGCTATTTTGCAAGTTTTTAATGAAAACCTAAGAGACAGCTGGGAACAGATTCAAGGGAAGAGTGAACCTAGAGAGGCAAGAGCAGGAGCAGGGAAAACAAAACCAAGGCTGTTAAAACTGCAGCCTGGACTTTGCTCAGCTTCCACGATAGCTCTATGTCTGAGCACAGAGAAGCTCAGGCTTCGAGTGATGGGTTACAGCTGCATTTCACCTTCTCGGGTTTGTTTAGATGGCTTAATGATATTTTTTTTTTCCAAAAATGAGACAGTTGTTAAGAAAGATGAACTCTTTCTAGTAAATGTAAAATAGTTCTTTTGGGAAAATAGAGGTCTACTTGCTAGCCACTATCTGTGTTTAAATATCAGATAAATAGCTAGCTGAGCTCTAGAAATCTTAGCACTTAAAAAAAAAGGCTTAAAGGAAAATGTTAAAGAAATTGGCTTTTGGCATCAGACATTGCAGGTTTGACTCCTGTACACTAACTTCTTCAAAACTTCCCTTTGCTAGTTGGGAAAACAGTTTTGTTTCCCTGGAGCTGGTGACATCCTGTCTGGATTCTGATTTATGTATGTTTGTTCATCGCTGCTCTGGCTTCAGGACGAAACAAGCCAGTGCACTCGAAGGTACAGAGCCTCACCTGAAACTAAGCTGAAATACAAAAATGCTCCAAATGTTTTGTCAAAGTTTATTCACCTATCTCAGTCGAGGTTCTAGCTTGTGATAGGCTTTCAAAGCAGGCGTGGAGTTGTGTAGTGCTTGTGTGAGGGAAGCCAACATCTCAAGTAGTGTGCTACAACTGTTTGACCTCGTTAGTCAGGAAATAGGGAAGAAAGACAGGGAAAATGAAAAACAAGCAGTATGGTTCCCTACAGCAGTTTTTACAAGCTTGTGTGTTTTTCAGCAGGAGCACTGGCTTTTGACACAGAGACAAAAAGCTACACCAGCGCCGCAGCATTAAGTGAGAGTTTGACGGCAGCGCGTGAGTAGATGATGTGTCTCCTTTGCTTCATAGGACTGTAACAGGGGAGTTATGAAGCCAACTATGGGGGCTGCAAAGTGAAAATGTGGCACTACCTTAGGGAGCGTTGGGTTGCAAATCTACAGTAGCCTGGAGCATCTTGCAAAAAGTAGAGCAGCAGGTACTCAGGTCCTCAGTTCGAGATACCTTTCCCGAGAGCATTAGCTCTGTGGTGCTTATTTTCAGCTGCTAGTTGATAGTCACCACACTGCCATGCAAAAATTATTACTAAACATGGAAAAGTCGTGTCTGAGCAGAGGCCAAAAGTCAGGTGGAGTCATCTGTACCAGCTTTTCAATACTTCACAGACACAATTTCCCTATTGAATTCCGCTGAGTTAGAAGATAAAAGCCCGAGTTTCCAAGCTGTCAAGGATTTGCAGTGGCAAAAGAGGAATGAAAAAACATTTGAGTATCCTGGTTTCATTAGACATATTTATTTTAACAATATTACAATTGAGAGAGTTGCTAGGCAAATGTAGTAAGTACTGAAGGTAGTTTATAGATGAAATAAATTGCCAGAGAAGCTAAATAAAATCGCAGAGTAGCAATGAAATAATGAGATAATGTGGAGCAACAAAGGCTGCCTAATAGAACATCGAAAGGCAGCCTCATTAAAGATCAATAAATCAATTAAAAAAACCCCTAAGGTGAACATTTTTTCAGAAGTCTTTCCCTTTAGAAAATCTCTGCTCAGCAGCAAGAAGCCCAAAGTGACTTTCTTTTTTAAAATCTTGGTTTGTCTTTGTGCTTTTGGAGCAGGCAGGAACTGTCAGTGAGCTTTTGCATTTGCATGGGAGTCATCTTTTGGCTGAAGTGCAAATGTAGCAGCCACTTTCCATTTTCTGACTATATTTTTGGTAACACTCCAGTACTTATTTACCCACGTACAACCCACAACCACACATTTAGACCACAACCTCATGACAACTTCTAATGCTTCACAATTCCACTCTTGCACAGCTTGCTGGTGGCAATCTTTGCTAAAAGCATGCTGAATTACACTAATATTTGCAGGATATACTGTGCATTGCACCAGTCATCCCCACATCCCTGCCATTGCTTCCCTACATCTGTGCCTGCCTGACCACCGGCTAAGAGATAATGGCCTTGAAGGGTCCTCAGTCCAGCAGCTGTAATTGAGGGTAATTTCAGAGCACACAGGCACCAGTGAGCCTGCTGAGGCAAACCAACATGTATCCCCGTGCCCTCCCAGGGCCACTGGGCTCCTACAACAGCGATTACCATTATCATTTCAGTCCTCTGAGGCTCTAACTCAAGCCATTATGTAAATAAGAATAAGTAGTGCTCATCACTGTGCTGTACAGAGCACAGTGCTACGGAAGCTCTAAGTGCGTGTCTTTTTTTTTTATATATGTAACTTTATAAAATGCCAGATCTGTCATGCTTATTCTCATAAAATTAAACACCTAATAAGCAAGAAAAAAAGAATTGAATTAATATCCAAAAGTTTCAGTGACTTTTTAGAGTGCCCTAAATTTGGACAGATTTTCATAGGGCTTTTTACTGCTTACATGCATACATACCTACATATATATATACACACATACACTTCAGTGTTCAATTTCAATCAAAGCCAGCATCTAACAAGAAAAAGATTTTCCTGGTTCTGTCTGGTGTTTCATTCATATCATTTAAACAGTGTTTTTGGGTTTTTTCTTGGATTTGTAAATCAGCAATTATACCAGAGACTTTCAGGTTCCTCTGTTATTTCATTTGTTGTTTGCATCAGAGAAAGGCTAAGAGTACAAAATAGCCACAGCTGAGCCTAATGAAGCAGTCATAGGTGCAGGCTTGGAAGATAATTGAAGAACATCATTTCTTTTTGTACAGATTTGAATGATTCCACCACGGAATCTCCACAAAGCCTCAGGAATGCCATACACTCCTCTGAGAATACAACCCTGGCACACCATAAGTGCTGTGGCACCTCTGGAAATGCTGTGCCATTGTCTAGTTGCATATTTTAGGTATTATTTCAGAAGCTGTGAATATGGAGGTGGCTAGAAAAAACAGAAATGTATCCTTAGATGGCACTGATTCAGACATAGGTAGCTTAGCTGTATTAGGAAGGGCAAAATACTGCCTACAAACAGATGATGAATTATTTTTGTGGTTCAGACACAGCACTTGACAGAGGAGACTGAGGTTTTGCTTAGTTGTGACAAAGGCAGACTTTGTGCTGCTGCTAAGCCACTTAATGTCTTTAGGTTTTTCATTACCATCAAAGACGTAAAGAGCTTATCATTCTCCTAGACCACAGCACAGCTCAATGCTGGCTTGCTGTAACATTTTAAAAGGTGTTTTCTTTCCTTCTTTTTTCTTTCTTTCTTTCTTTCTTTTTTTCTCTTTCTTTTCTTTCTTTTCTTTTTTTCTCTCTCTTTCTTCTCTTTCTTTTCTTTCTTTTCTTTCTTTCTCTCTCTCCACTTCCTTCCTTTTCTTCTAATATTCTTTAATTTGATAAAAGCACATTTTTTATCCAACACCAGGTTTTAGGCCAAAACTGTAGGCATCTTGCCAAGAGAATTTTGACACCCTGATCCTGGAATTTGATTTCCAGTTTTCAGCAGGGTGAATAACAGTGGGTTCAAAAGATAATCTTCATTTTATAAAAACTGAAAAAGTTACTAAAATTATTCTGTGCCCATATCTTTTTAGGGAATCTGTCCTACAGCATCACAGGCCAGACAATTTCAGTTACCGGAGGGAAAGATTTCTTTACTACCAGCAGCCTGCTCAACAGTACTGGTGAGACACTATCCTACAAATCCTCTTCTTTCAGCATGCCATTGCAGAAGCACAAAACCTGGAGCATCGTGTCCATTTGACCAGGGGATTTCAAAAAAGGGAAAAGATATGAAAAGGAGTCACAGCTGCTGTGTCTTCACACCGCAGCCTGTCACAGGCTTTTGGTATTCCAGCCTTCTCCCTCCAAATGCAAGCAAACATACAGTGCACGTTTTCTTCCAGCAGCAAAATTTGGCCAGTCATGCTCTTGTGCCCCAGGGAAATCTTATGGCTCATGCAGTGTGGTAGACTTGGTGCCAGGCCACAGCACTGGCTGCCACAGTGGATAAGACCTGGGCTGGGTGACGTACCAGTACAGCCAGCCTTGCACAGGGGTGTGATGCACAGGGAGGTGATACCGAGGTGTATCACCCAGGGACCTCGTGCTCCAGCCCCCTCTGGCACCCAGACCACTGTTGCACCCTCCACAGCAGGAGGAGTACTGTGCTCCTTCTCTCCTTTTCCATTCCCAGGACCCTGAGGGCACCTCTGTCAGCCACCAGCACCCCCAAGGGTGGCTGTGCAGCAGAGGGCAGGGGGGGATCCAAGCACTGTGGTGGGGAGAGGCAACTGGAATGGGGCAGGGATGCTGTGTCACCAAAAATGCAGCTGAGCCCTTGGCCAGACATTTTGGCAGGGTTTGGTGTCAGTGGTGTGAAAAATAAACCCCTGGGAAGGACAGCTGCGGTAGGTAGCTGTGCCCAGCTGCACTGTGAATTGCTTCCTCTTCACAGAGAAGCTCACAGGGGGACAGAAAAAGCCAAGGGGTTTTGGATGAAACGCTTGCTGGACTGTGCCTGAATAATCTCATCATGTGAACTGATGGGTGGCTGAAACCAGCTTACAAACTCAGTCAGAACAAAAGTGGGTTAAATCTATAAATCAGAGCTGCAACACCCAGAGTTTGGAATCCTCAGGCTGGGAACGTGACAGTGTGGTGGTGATTTGGGGCCATACTGACACCGGTGCTGTGCTGGGGGGAGCAACAAGCCACAGGCAGCAAGCCCAGATTTCCCTCCTCTCTGAGGGTGTTGGGATGAGCTCTGATTGATGTCTCCCTCGCAGGTGATGAGAGGAACACAAACACCAGTCGCTTCCCCTGGCCAACAGTGGTGGCCGTCCTGCTCCTCTTCTGCAGTTCTCTAATAGCTGTGGGCATCAGGAAATGGTGTCAGTACCAGAAAGAGATGTAAGTACAAGTGAGGGGAGCCACAGGGGTGGGAAGTGTGGCACAATGAACAGCACAAACTCTAACCCAGCTGTTTGGATTTACACCTTTTCATTTGAGACAAGTCACAGCACACGAGGCCTTTAAGTACATGGATTGGTAATGCTATTTTTTTTCATACAGCAGTATGAAAAGTGGAGTGTTTTCAGTCCTTCCATCTGTTTTGTGGGTTATCTTTAAAATAAACTTTAAGAAAAGAGCTGCAGTGCAGCTTCAGGGTGTAAGGGAAGAATAACAGTCAATTTTTGTCCCCAGAGCCCCCCACTCCTATTAGCCTCCCTGCCAGCTGCTTTTGCTCTCTCATTTTCCATGGTGACTTGAGGACATGTTTTAATGAAATTGTACTTCTAGGGCAGCTCTATTTGAGTTGTGAATAATATATGTGAAAGTAGGCTACCTGAAACTTAATCCCAGTCAAAGAAGCATTGAATTTGTAATTATTACCAAAGTTTAATTCCCTACTAACACTCAGAGATCTACTGGTAAAAGTAGTATCTAAGAGACAATTATTTTTAATCTGACTAACATTATTAAAATGTTGGAAAATTCATGGTGAAAATGAATCACTTATAATTGTAGAAAACTCTTTCAAAACACAGCTACAAATCCTGTATACAGGAGGGAAAAACAGGGTTGATTTTTTCAGTGATTTGGGATGGGACCTTTATTTATCTTGGCCTATAAACTGACCCCAAAAAAAGTTAAAAGTCATTAAATACACCTTCAGAGAGTAGTGTGAGCAAAAGACCTCTGGTTTTGATTGGTTCATCAGAACCATATTCTGTTCTTTTAAAACATGAATAAAGTAAAATTGTGAGGTGTGAGCTGAGAAAGCCGAATGAATACTAGGAGGTGTGCTGGGGTTATAAAACAGAATCAGGGAAGTTGCAGTATGTAAAAGCTAATGTCAGGTGCTCTTAGTGTCAATCTACCCCCTCCTGTGATCATTTTACATCAGTCTTTTATGCAGTTTTTGTGTGATAGTGCATTTTTTCCTCCTCTATTTCAGTATGAACAGACCTCCATCCTTCAAGCCACCACCACCTCCAATAAAGTACACCTCCATGGTGGAGTCTGATGGGACTCCCCCTTCCAGCCACGAACTAGAAAACCTGTAACATTGCCTACACCCCTTGTGTAGCTTGCAGAAGACCGACAGTTAAAAGGCTCTGTCTTTAGAACAGTGACTACAGGAGTTGGGTGTTAATGACCCACATTAAAATTCAGAGTGCTTACCTGACATTACTGTTGGAAGCTGAGCATTCCTTAGGACACTTCATCCTGTCTATCTCTATGTATGCATGGCGTTAACACCATTGTGAGCGCCACCGTGAGATTACACGTGCTTAATTTGAATTAGGTGATCAACTGGGAATTTGCTGTCTTTTTAATGGGAGCGGATTAACACATCACTCCTCCAGCCTGACTGAAGAGTGTTGAAGCTTCTCTTTTACTGAGTGTACAGAGATGACAGCTCTGCTGTATGGACACCACAGTCATAGTGGCTTAACACAAGCTTTTTGATACCTACGCGAGTCGTTCTTACAATTATTTTTTTTAACTGTGGACTAACATGACCAACTTAGTATTTTCTATCATTGTGAAACCAACCAAAAAATAAACAGCACCTTATGCAGAAAGAAAATATCTGCATCCCTCGGCACGGAGTTGCACAGAGGATCACGTGGAAGGGTTGGTGAGATGAAAGGTCATGGTGCAGGCCTGGTACAAGTGTTTGTGAAGAAGACTCAGTTATCATTGGTGAAGTCACAAAAAACAGTCAACTTTGGGCTCATGCACAAGCTGCCTGTGGGCCAGAGACTTAAGGATTGAAGTGAACAAGGAGCCTAAAGATAATGGAAAATTCTAGTCCTTTTAGAAGTGCTGTGCCTTTGAAACAATGCTTACACTTGAGTCTGCTTTTGTGGAATTATATTTTTGACACCCATTAAGGAAAAAAAAAGGAAATATAATAATTTTCTTCTCCTTTGGTCTTAATGAGTTTCTGTCATTTGCTATCTTTCAAGACCTCGGGGGAAGTTTCCCAAGTGGCTTAAGCCTGTGAAAGAGTTGATCCAGTCTTACCCAGGCTACATATTTCCTTGCATTGGCACTAATGGATAAATGATGGTGCAGAGGGTGGGATTGGCTCAGCTCCTGCTGTACAGTTCTCAGCCAGGTCAGCAGCTGTGTGATCACTAATGCAAGGCACCAGATCTGCAGCAGGAGCACTGCTTTTGGCAGCAGTGTGGTCCTACATTACCTTCAGGCAGCCAAGAAAAAGGCCCGCTAAGCTTGTTTGAAAATGTATTGTTACCACAATGGTATTTCTGTAATTAATGCAAATCAGCTAAAATTCAATCATGTCAGGCTCAAAATTGATATTCTGATTTAGGAATGGGATTGCTTTATTTACTGCTAAACACTGGTCGATGAGTGTCAGGGTTCAGAGCACTGTATTTCCTGGGAATTTAGATTAAATGAATTACTTACTGGAAAGAATGATCTAACAGACCTTTTTTGAGTGTTTTGTTGTATTATTTACCTCATAGTACAAGCAGTCCTAAATTTGTCATCTGTGCTGAACCGAAAACACTTTCTGTCCTACAAAACTACACTGACCTTCCATGCATGAAAGGCTCAATGTTAATTTGAGCATTTCTTGTCTGTGTGGGGTAGTAGAAGCAAAGTAGTTTAACTTTTGTCATACTATCCATCACTGCAAAAGAAGGCAGCTTTTTGTCCTTAAAAAAAAATTGTAAAAAAAAAAAAAAACACGAACAAACAAACAAAAACCAGAAGGATAAAAATATTCCAAGGGGTGTGGAGAGCCAGGACTTTCCTCCTTGCCCTCAGATGAGGATGACTGCCCGTAGCATAGCTGTCGAAGGAGGTTATTTTATTATCTCGGGTATTTTAATCCCCACGGTTGCTTCTGGCCGCAGCTGTTCCCTCTGCCCCTTAACAGTGCTCAGGGGTGCCAACGCTGCCTGCGGCGGACTCGCTCCCCGACCCGCCCATCCCCGAAAGAACGCTTCTCCTCCGCAAGTGGGGGATGAGCAGGGTGATGATCCCCGCAGGACCCCGCCTGGCTGAGAAGAGCTTCCAGCCTGTCCGGGAGGTTTTCCACGGATCCCCCTGCGCGGGGGACACACGGGAGGCACGGCAGCCCAGCCGCGATCCCGCTGATGAACGCGAGGCGGAGCCGCAGCGCCGCGGCCGCGGGGGAGCGGGGCCCATTCGCCCCCGCCCGTCCCGGCCCGTCCCGCCGGGAAAAGCGAGAGGGTGCGGGGATGGCCTCTGCCTGCCCGGGGGACATGCCGGCTTCAGAGAGGGAACCGGGAAAGGGGCAGCCCTCAGAGTGGGACCTGGAAGAGGAATTCCGCACCCCCAGCAGCCCCTATCGTCCCGGTTTTCAGCAGCTAAATTGGGTGTAGGATAGTTTATATCTCCGTTTGACTCCAGGTGCTCCGCACCGGGATAAGCATGTAACGTACAGTTTACTCAAGAATTGTTATTATGTTCAAAATTAAACCCTGCTTTAAAGAGGGGGGGAAAAAACCCAAACAAACAAACAAAACAAACAAACAAAAAAACCAAAACAAAACAAAAAACCCCACCCACCCACCAAAAAAACCCAAAAAAAAACAAAAAAACCCCAAACCAAAACAAAACAAACAAACAAACAAAAAACAACAAAACAAAAACACCCCCAACCCCCCCCCCCCCCCGAAAAAAAAAATTAAACACTCGACTGCAGCAACTTCAGCTGCCTCATCCCTGGAAGTGTTCAAGGCCAGGCTGGATGGGGCTTTGAGCAACCTGGTCTAGTGGAAGGTGTCCCTGTCCATAGAAGAGGGGTTGTAACTATATGATAACTTAGGGATCCCTTCCAACCCAAACTGCTCTCCGATTCTGTGATTATTTTTGGCAGCAGCTGCCCCTGTATATAGGCTGGAATCATTCCGCTTGGACTTGGGTTCTGTCAAACCCGGAATAATTTGGCCCAAATCAAGTTACCAGATGCTTGAAGGTGGCTATAGGAGTGTTAGATAAAAGCTTTTCTGTAAGAGTAAAATTTTCAAAGCTTGCTGTGTGGGTATAAAAAAGATTTTTTAAAAGAGTCTTGAATGTATGTTGTGGTTTGTTTGTTGCCCCAGCTGGCAACTCACTTCAACCAGTGGGATGGGGAGGGAACTGGGAGAGTAAAAGTGAGAAAACTCGTGGGCTGAGGTAAAGACAGTTTAATAGGGAAAGCAAAAGCTGCACACAAGCAAATCAAAACAAGGAATTCATTCACCACTTCCCATGGGCAGTCATCTCCAGGAAAGCCAGGATCCATCATGTGTAGTGGTGAATTGGGAAGACAAAACACTGTTGCTTTTAATGTTCCCCTCTTCCTTCTTCTTTCCTAGTTTTACATGCCAAACATGACACCATATGGTGTAGGATATCCCTGTGGTCAGCTGGGGTCAGCTGTCCCAACTGTGTCCCCTCCCAGCTTCTTGTGCCCCCCCCAGCCCACTCATTGGTGTGGGGGGTGAGAGGCAGAAAAGGCTTTGACATTGTGTAAGCACCGAAACATCTCTCTGTGTTATCAACATCGTTTCCATCATAAATCCAAAACACAGCCTCATACCAGCTACTATGAAGAGAATGAACTCTACTCCAGCCAAAACCACAGGGTCACGTTGCTAAATGCAAATCCACGACAGTGAATTCTGTAAAGCACACTCGAGTCAGAATCTGAGGTCATGTATAACATGTAATGTAATGCTGTGAAATTAGCTGGGTCTGCTGTATGTGGTCTTTAATACATGCATTACACAGCTGTAAAAGCAACACAGTGGAAAACTAAGCAGCAAGGTGGTTTTATGCAAAAGTGGTTTCCATCTGCTTCTGAGGAGATGGTAAATGTTGTAGGGTGAAGGAAAATAAGGCCAAAAGGAAGAAATTGTTTTCAGGATTTGTTTTCAGTTACTAATGTGCCTTGTGAAGTCTCTGGCAGGGCCTCGGGACTTCAGTGGAGTGAGTGACTTTTCCCAGAGCTCCCTGGTTTGTATTCCTGCTGGTTGTATCCAGGTGGTGCTTGGCCCTGCTGACAGAGAGCTGGGAAAGACTGCCAGCCCCAAGCCCATAGGGTGCGTGGGGCAGGCTGGTGTTCTCAGTGTCTGCCTGGTTTCCACCTCTCTGTCAGTGGAGGGCGCAGCTGTGACTGAGAGGATTCCCTGCTCCTGGCACACCTGACAGCTGTCCCTCCAAGCCTTAAGCCTCCTGCATTACCTTTTGCCTCACTCTGAATCACGCGTCCTTTTTAAACAGCATTGCAATGGCTTCTCTTACAGGGCACCTTTTGGTCCGGGAAACTAATTAAGCTTGGCTTGTTTATTTAAGAAGCACCCCTATAGTTTGCACGGTGTGTTCCAGTCGTTGGAATGCAGGTGGAGGTGTGGCAGTGCCAGGGAACAGGCTGTGGGAGAACACAGGGCTGTGGGAGAGAACAGGTTGCCTGGCCATTCCAGAGCCAGACTCATTAGATAGCAATTGCTGATAATAGGCTTTGACATCTGGGATTTCCTGGGGAAACAGCCCATCTTAATAAGGACCCACAGAGTTTTCTCTTTTAGAGAGATGTTTCCCTTATTGCAGCTGTGTTGAAAGCTGCTGAAAACCTATGGGTTTGTTTTAATGTATGTGTTTGTTTTACAGAGCTGTGCATAGAAATTATACCTGTTAACACACACAGGGTATTAGTTACCTTGTGTAGCCTTTGCTGGATTTAAAGCCATCATTTACCAGAGCTAGCAAACATTAGAAAGAACTGTGCACACTTTAACTCCAGAATAAACAGTATACAAAGGAGAATTATTTTTTTTAATTTATTGTTTATGTTTGTAAGTAATTCTTCCTGACTTGGCAATTAACTTTGAGCAATAATCCAATGGAAAACTCCTAAAAAGCTCTGCAGGGGATAATGATTACTTAATCCCGCCTAAGGAGATTTTAGTGGAAATAATATAAATTCATATTATATTTAAAATTATTCCTTAAAGACAAGACAAAGCTCAGGGAAGTCCCCAGTAAAGATTATTTGATTTCAGGGAACATCCGATTATGTCTTTAAAACTCCTCTTCCAGCTGTTTTCTAGCCTGTCTTGTTTCATCTCTTTTCTTTCAGTCTCCTGTATCAGGTTGCCCTCATAAGAGTTTTAATCAGTGGAAAAATAACGTATCTGTTTGCCCCTTGGTTCCTTTCCAAGCGAGAGGACTTCCAGATTGACTCTGGCATCGTACACGGCTTGAAACACCCTCATGTGGTGTAAACGAAGTATTGAATAGCTCGCTATTGTCAAACATACGACTCACAGATGCCAGGGCTTGGTTTACAGACACCAGCAAACAAAGGCGAGAGAGAGAAGCAGGTAATATATTGATATAAACTGACACCGAGGCTATGAGTGGTGGACAGAAAAAGGGGGAAGTCAATATTACAAAGGCTATATTATATGACAGACATCTAAGTGTTTGCAATGGACTTAGGAAATGCAAAAAGTGCTGCAATAGTGGTTTTCTGACTTGATGTAAAATGGAAAATGAACACCACTATTTGGTCTATTGCACTTGAAGAAGCAGTGTTTTAAATGCAGTGATGTCTGCAAAGCTTTGTGATTGAGTGTGTCTGATGGTTTTAAATGTTAAATAATTCCATTACAATCAGGGTAAAAATGGTAATGAACAGCTTGGAAAAGTCTGAGTATACTTACATGAAATGTTGAGCAATTAGCTTCTCTCTGTAAAAGTGAATCCTGCAGTTTTCTTCTTATCAGTAGCAAAGCGACCTTTAAAATATGCAGATGACACAGAAGCCATTTCAATAACTTATTTGATCTATTTCCTGCTGATAAATTGCATGTAAGGATTTGGAATTTACATGGCACAGTAGATTTTGGGAT